ATGGTCTCCAACCAACTTGCGATGGCCTCCACCCTAGCAGTGATTGCCTCCAACCTAGTAGCGTCCTTGCTACTAGTAGCGGTGCACTTGTTACTAGCGCTCTCTGCGCCTTCTGCATCCAGGAGATGTGCGCGGAGCTGACAAGCTGCAAAGATCGCTGCAGGCTGGGCACCTCCCCCGGCCGATCCGAGCGGCGGCTACAAATGTCCCAAGGCTCTAAAGATTTGAGCGAAGATCAAAACGCATGTATGAAAAAATGGAGTAGCTGGAAAGGTATCGTTTTTATGTTTTGGTATCCTTTTCCAAGGAGAATCACACATTCTACCCTTCTACCCTGAGAAACAACAAAGCCTGTCTCTTGTCACAGGCTAATGTCGCTGTCAGCTTCACTCAGCTTGGTTCATCTGGGCCAGGTTCTTGCCAGGCATATTTTCGTTGGTTTTGGTATCGCTTGGTATCGTTGTTCTGCTTCGCTCCAAAAGAGCATCTCTTCTGACACACCACGCTTAGAATGAAAACGTGAAAAGCAGGCACATCAACAGGACATCTCCCGTCAATATCACAAGCAAGAGATCGGTGTCTTCGTTGGTACCTGCCCTATCTCTGCTTCAGGTGCCCCTTGCTACAAGTGAAGAGTATGCAAATGAATCAATGTGGAGTCTCAAAGAGTGGGACACACACACACGTGTATAATCGTGTATACATGTCCTTTCCGAAGAGCGCACAAACAAGGTGCACCAAACTTACACATTGCTTGCGCACATAGAGCACTGGAACAGGTATATGTTTTTGTGTTTTGGTATGTTTTAAATTGTTTTAATCGTTTTCCATGGTTTCTTCAACAATATCTGAAAATATTCCACATCTCTACATACTGCTGAGGTGAACCCTTTCGATAGTTGCTCATTTGCTTACGCGTGCACTTACGCGATGCTTACGCGCCTCAGGTGTTCTCTTACGCGAGGAAAAACAACAAATTGGCTCTCGAAATAAGATGTTGAAATAAGTACAACCGACTGCAACTCCGCATCTCCCTGATCAAGGTTACAGCAATTTCAAATTTGGTTTTGAACTTTCTCGACTTTGCTTACGCAACATGTGTTCTGAAAAATCTGCTTACGCAAGCTTACGCGACTCAGTCTTTGGCTTACGCGAGAAAGCCTTATGACAAGGCTCTTTCATGTCACAATTAGATCAATTAGGCAGGTTTTGACCCTTGCTCATATGCGATAATGAGAGCTTAAGTCACTTTGGTCTCAAGTAGTCTGTCATTGCAAAGTGCATTAATAAAATGCATTGAGCTTGAACCTGCTTGAGCTATTCCTTCTTCTCTGGTTTTGTTATAGCATGGGCAAAACATCTTCGTCCGGACCCCTTACCCGCGGCACACTGTGTCAACATGAACCAATCTAATCTTTCCATGTCCGGCGTACCAGCCACATCAGTGGCCAAAGCTCATCCACATCACCTTTCACTGCTGGCCTTAGATATGCTGAGACTCAGATTGTTGCCAGACACTTAGCACGTTATGCTGCGTACGTATAGATGAATCTGCACACCAGGCTCAGTGTCAAGCAGGGCATTGACTGCTGCCTCCCGTATCTCTCGCACAGCCTGGGTCGGCAACACATCGTGGGGGTCGGCAACATGGGCCCCGGAAGCCCCGACCTGCCAGCCATACTGCACTGCTCGATGCCTCAGTGGCAAATGAAATGAGGCTGTGGGGTCTCCAATGTGTATCATTCTAGAATTATATATAGTATCTTTATATAGTATCTTTTTTATATAGTATCTTTGACCATGTTGGGGTAAACCAAGCTGCATCACTCTGCACTTGTGCCCACTCAGAGTCAAACCCATGAAATCCCGCGATATCAGGTTGGCGAGGAACAGTTCGAGTTGGCTTTGGTACCTCTCTGAACATGGGCCAGTGAGGCAGTCTCGAATTGCCACAGCATGCCGCAGAAAGGCTGAACACAAAAACTGCAAAACAATAAAACAAATTAAGGCTTGGTCCAGCGGATGACCATAACTGTATTCCAACTTACTCGTCCAGAAGTTGTTTCAATGTGCTCAACCACCGGCATTACGTATCTTTCTCAACGTCGCAAGCATGTTCATTATGTTCATTGACAATTTGCCCACGAAAGCATGATTCAATGTTTCTGTGCTGGTTTAGCGTAGTTGCCGGGGTTACGGAATTAATCCGAGGCATCTGCGCGGTAAAAACGGTAAAAATCAAAAATTTTCTGTTTTTACCGTTTTTACCGGGGGGCACCCCTTTTTTCTAGCATATCCGCGGTAAAAACGGTAAAAATCAAACATTTTATGTGTTTATCGCTTTTACCGGGGGGCGCTCCTTTTTCTTCTACCATATCCGCGGTAAAAACGGTAAAAATCGAAAACCAAAAAAGAACACGTCCTTTTTATTTAACGTGTTTACCGGGGGGCGCTCCTTTTCTTTTACCATATCCGCGGCAAAAACAGCAAAAATCGATTCTGTTTTACCGTTTTTACCGGGGGGCGCTTCCTTTTTCAATACCATATCCGCGATCAAAACGGTAAAATTAATTGTTGTTCTTTTTGTACCGTTTTGATCGAGGGGGGCAAACGGGTCTATGATTTTTTAGTTTCTAACGGAGGGTCACCGATGTTTCTTCTGCCATATCCGCGGTAGGTAAAAATCGAAAGTTTTCGATCCAAGTGATGTAGGCTTTCATTGCCCTGCAAAAGTTAAAAGTCATGAAATGTTGATCAATCACCAAACTCCTCTTGTCGAAAAGGGCACACGCTCCTATATGATAGGAGGAGTGAACCCCACCTGGTTATAGGAAGATAGCCGGGCTGTAACATTAAACCTGTTTGTTGACAGAGGTCTTCTAGCTTGCGATGTGGTCCCGAGGCATTCTCGCGGTAAAAACGGTCCAAAGTGAAAATTGTTACTTTTGTTGTTTACCTTTTTTAATGAAGAGTCGCTTGCTCTTTTTGCTTCTACCATATCGTTAAAAATTCAAGTTCATGTTATTCTCCGTTTTTGTAGGTGGACTTGTCCTTTTCTTTTCTACCATCTCCGTGGCAAAAACGGTAAGAATCTGTGGTTTTATTTCTTTTTTACTGGGGGGCGCTCCATGTGTAAATTTCATATCCGCGGTAAAAAATGTAAAAATAAAAAATATGTTTTAACCGTTTTTACCGGGGGGGGGGCCTTTTTCTCTACGATATCCACGTTAAAAACGGTAAAAATCGTGTTTTTTTTACCGTTTTTACCGGGGGGGGCGCTCCTTTCTATTCTACCATATCCGCGGTAAAAACGGTAAAAATTAAACATTTTATGTGTTTATCGCTTTTACCGGGGGCGCGCTCCTTTTTCTTCTACCATATCCACGGTAAAAAACGTAAAAATCGAAAAAAAAAACTACCTTTTTTCTTGCGGGGTCGCGAAAGGATACCCCTTAGCAAAACAACGCTTGCGAACCAGCTTAGAATGTTTCAATGATTGTTCGAAAAACCACTTGTCCCATGTCCACACTCTGAGCACTTGGCTTTGCGGAGCTTTTCGGTTGGACGGGCATGCAAAGGTAATTCCCATGCCTCAGATGGGCACTGAAGTTGCCTCGATGGGCTTGGTGACCAGCCCCCCCGCTATAATCACGGGCACACTGGTCGCTTGGGTAAGGACTCAATGACAATGTTGTGATATCCATGACGTACTTGCACATTGGTGACAGAATAAACATAGACACATGACAGCAAAGGCCAGGCGACCCGTCAATTCGCTGGCAATTGGACACTGCACATACACGTTCTTGAGTCAGAATTCAACCATGCCATTTGCCGGGTCCAAGACAGGCTAGGGTGGGCCAGTGGATGCAAGCTCCGCATTGGATAGCTTAACATGCAAGCATGTTTGTTTAAGAAGCGAGCCCTTGGTTCAACTATTCTAAGATCCGCACGATCAGAGCCTCGCTGACTTTCATTGCCTCATTGAGTTCGGAGAAGGTTCATTCGATCCAAAGCCGTAAGCCAACACTATACTGCAATATAGAGCTGATATATACTGTAACGTTTTCAGTATGGAATTTATTGATAGAATTATCAAGCCCAAAGTAGCATCGGCAAGCATTGATTTCACGTTGAACCAATCATGAAATGAGAACTTGCAGAGAGCGAGCAAGTGACTTACATTTTGATTTTTGGTTTTGCAGTCACTTGCAGTCACTTGTCACTCAAGCAAGTAAACTTCAACACTTGCACTTTGAGTTCTTTGTGTGAAGCTGTAAGATTTCTTTGTCGCTAGCTCTGCAGAAGTAAAGTCTTGGAATATTTCATGATTTCTCCGCGCGCAGCTCTGGAGAAAACCGGAATTTCTTTGCTGAACAGCATTGCAGAAATCTTGGTTTTCTTCAGAACTGCGTACGGAGAAATCATGATATTCTCCGGACAGAAGTAGCAGTCACTTGCAGCCACTTGGCAGCCACTTGCAAGTGGCTGCAAAATGGAAAATCAACATGCGCACCTCCTGCGAGCTCAATGAGAACTTCAGAATTCTGAGAGTTTCGTTGTGCCCAGAGAGGAGAGAGCACAGTTTCGGCACAAGCTTGAGGTCTGGACGGTTGAGGCATTGAACTCATGGCGGCCAAATCGAAGCCAGGACATCAGCTGCCTTGGACACGCGCCAGAAACATGCGGAAGTGGCCGAATCACTGGAGTCTATATTATATTACAGTAGTTACTACTACTATTGTTTATTAGTTACTATTAATACAATTACTATTATTCAAACAGAATATATATATATATTATATGTATACCATTATATATACCGTATATATACCATTATATACCGGCCGAAGGGATGACGCAAACCTTCAACCCTGCAGCACCTTTACAACGCATTCGCTCCTTTTCCTCCAAACATCCTGTCCCGACGCTGAATCAGCATTCTTTCTTTTCTACACAAAGAGATCTGCTGATCACGATCAAAGATGGCGATGCGAGCTGTAGCTATACTCATCGCGAAAAGGCACCAGCATGGCCAAAGCATGAGAGGTCCAGCTGTCTCTTACTTTTGTTTTTGCACTGTACATCTCTTCAAGGAATTCATTCGTGGGTTCAAGCAAACACCCTTAGGTCGCTGACATAGCCCTGTGACGAATGGTTATCGTACATCTTCATCTTCACGCAGCTTCTCTCGGCTGGTTGGCTCAGGGTGTTTTATTTCTTTAAACAATCATTACAAATATGCAATGTGGCTCAAATGCTTAGAAGCCGGCACCGTATCCAGCACCTGCTTGATGGGGCGAAACATGGCGAAACCACCTGGTAGATCCCAGGAATCTGCGAGGCAGAAGGCAGCATGCCTTCCAGGTAGAATGAGGTAGAGAAAAAGCACCAGCTAACAGGTCACATCAGTATACATGTTTGATGTCTGAAGAGAACTAACGAAAAGAATCTCGGAGATCAACACACATCTGCTTCCCATCAGCACAATGTCTCAAGAATCTGACCTTTCAGGGCCAGATTCTGGTCGTTCAAGATCCGATCGTAGTCCATGGCTGAGCACAGGGATTCGTGATTTGTCATTTGAGGTCTTGGGAGGTCTTGCGTGCCCTCCGCGCCTCAAGCAATGCGTGAGGTGTCCCTGCCAAAGACCTCTCCACGGAGCCAATCCAAGCCTACCAAGGCACGGTTCTTCCAGCCTCGAGGCTGCTTATTCGGGTCGAGCAAGGTTGACCAATGACAAATCGATCTCCAAAGCCGGGGTGTTCGAAATCAACGTCCAAAGGACCACAAATATCCATCATTGACTTGTCCAATTGAGAAAAGAGATGAAAAGGGTGTTCAACGGTTTCTACAGCTCGCTGTACGTGCCGTATTCAAAAGAGCAAACCTCCTGTTGCTGGCTCCTTTTAAGGGAATGGACTGTCTTCGGTCACCTCTTTGCTCCACACTCGATAAAGGATAATCGCACCAGCAATATCAATCAATTTTGTTAATCGAACAAATTCTTTGATTGGGAATTGGGATCCTTGGATTCGTTCTTTTCAACAAGTTAGTGACTTTGTTCAGAATGACCGTCACAGTAATCATTCATATCAGAATGTGATTCTAATCTTCTGTGGGTTCAACACCGGTTGCTCCTTCGTCTGCCGACCTTTGCAGTGCCAAGAAGCTGAGCTGAGCCGATGTCTCGTAGAGCTTCCATGCCACCCCAGCCGCTGGGCCGGTGATCGGGCCGATGACCGGCAGGTCGAAGGCCGCGGAACCGCCTGGGAGGAAAAGGGCTTCCTCGATGGCAACTGAACCAGGGTGGCTCCTTTTGCAACGAGATCTTGAGGAAACGAAAAAAAGAAGAGCAAACCGGTAACCAGAACCTCGGAGTGTGCTCTGGCTGAAGGCTTTCAAACCAATAGGATTCCAAGGCAAATCGATTTTGAACTCATGGAGTTGACCTATATTTGTTGGCACAAAAAGCATGGGCCTGCGTGCCTACTGCGTCAAGTTTCTGTGAAATCTAGAGTCTAGCAGAGTGATCATGAGTGCACTGACCTATACAAAAGAAACAAACAAGTGCATGACCTAGCCCCATCTTCCTTCCTGGCCTCCCAGGTAGGCCAAGGACCCCTTGTGGAAGTATGTGAAGGGTCCACTGGCCGTGGCCACTTCAGTGAAGCTGTCGATGTCTCCATCCAGAATGGCTTGGTTGAAGAGGGAGCTGAGGTACTTGCCTGCAAACGATTTGGTGTTGGTAGTCCGACCGACCATTTCGACATTTTGCAGCCTCGCTATATCTCGCAATTTGGGGCAGGATTGTATATCCTGCACGGTCTTTTCTCGCAACCGTTTTGATTTAAAGGCGAACTGGACACTCTCGGGTTCTTGTATTTTTCATCCTGCTTGTATATGGGTCAGTTCCAGCCCATGTAAATGGTGGAACACTCTGCCGCACAGGCTCAGGTTGAGTCTCACGTATGCCGTATGTCCGTATATGCGCCAACAAACCTTTATGTTCCGGTGAACCATTGCACACCACTATATATTTCAACCAAATCAACGAATCAATGATGTGCATATCAATTCAATTGACTGTGCTTTAAAATAGGCGTCCATTGACTACTTCTCCACACCTTGCTGTGCTGCAACTTGTGCGGTGGGAGGGAAAGGTTGGAGGTTTGCATCAATCCGCTCCAGAAGGCCTTTGAACTCCTGGCAGAATGCGCATCCAAACCCATCACCGTATCACCTGGCCAATTAGAATTCACTCTGGCAGTTACACCCTATGCAGTAGTCTGAATATTTTGGAAACTTGAGTGCTCGGAACCCGAAGTCTGGGTTTCTAATGTTTCTTGTTACTCCTTTTGGGGGGTTCGGGAACTCGTTCGGATTCTATCCGTACTCCACCCTTGGTTCCTCGAGGTCGAACAGCCTGTTGGCATTTTGGTCTGCCTCAGCAAAATCCTTCTCCACATTCTCCACGCCTTTTCTTCTGGTTCGATCCGATGCCCTTTGAGACACTAATGCCTTGGCCTTCTTCCAGGCCTGTCTCTCACCTAAGCTCTCAGCATATCTCAGCACACTTAGATCACTCAAGTGGATCACACAACATGAATGAAGCAGCATCCTCTCTTGGCTGCTAGCGTTCGAGAGCTTCGCCAAATACCTTCGCGATAGCATTTATCCTCGGGTTGGACTCCTCGTCAACCACGGCTGAAAGGTACTGCGCATATTCCTCCAGCTGGGGGAATTCGTCCGATGCCCCCTGGCCAGCGAATTGTTGCAGCTGCACGTAGTGCACACATGTGTACACACACAGATATATATATATATATATAGCGGAGAAGCAAAGAATCCTTTCCAGCCGCCTGCTGCTACATGGGGATAGGATGGGAAAGGAGGGTCTTTCACTTAATTGTGGAAACTCACGAAACTGTAGAGGACCTGGAAGGAAACCACGCGAAATCACTGAACCATGTGAACCATGATCAAATCCCTCTGAAAGAGGTGAACTCCTTCGGCGAGAAAAGAGTGAGTTCCAGTTGAACCATCGCACTGAAACCCTCTTTCATTTGCTCGCAACAATGGCAGCGGTCCTTCGTGCGCTGTCCGCGCGCCTGAAAGAGATCCCTCAACTCGGTCAAGGTGAGATCTCCGGAGTTGTCCAGGTCTGCTGCTGTGAAGAGCCTCTGGCTGGGGAGTTGCTGTGGCACCGAAGGAAAAGAGTCAAGGGCTTGATTCAAGTGGCTTGATCCTTGGAACATGCATTGCTCTGGAAGCGTTTGCCTGTTGAACTGTTGTTTTCCTTCTGATTTTTTGCGATATCCGCTCACACCCATTGTCCCATCAAGGGCCGTTCTAACATCTTTTCCATCCTCAAACGACAAGAACTATCCAACCTGCTGAGTTTTATCCGCTAGGAGCATGGACGCTACTAAGGGCTCCTAGCATCGCTACTAGGAGCAAGGACGCTACTAGGGGCTCCTGGCATCGCTACTAGGAGCATGGACGCTACTAGGGGCTCCTGGCATCGCTACTAGGAGCGAGGACGCTGCTAGGGTCCTGGCCATACTACTAGGAACAAGGACGCTACTAGGGGCTCCTGGCCATACTACTAGAAACAAGAAGCTATTAGAACAATGCGTCTGAATCTTGTGGTGAAGATGTGAAATCCAAGCTGCTGCTCTGAGTAGGGTGAGGTTCGCTCGTGCCTCACACTCGCTGCATCTCCCAAGGCCTTTGCAAAACAAGTGACTCAAGACCTGCAACCTTCGTTAACCTTCAGTGTGTTCGCCGATACCTTGCCCCAAAGAGTTGTTTGCTCTGCAAGTTGGAGCAGACTCAAGTAATCAAATTCGAGCAACGGAACAAGGGCATCACGAAACACTGCAAGAATCCAAAAGGCAAGCACCAAAAGCTGTCAGATGCCAGCTAAAAAAATATTGCAAGGCCTTATCACGTTGTATTACTTTGGCTCAGACATTTTCAAGCACCGCATACCCTACACTTGAACTGGAGCCATTTCAAAGTTCCTTCTCTCATCCTTCCGCCAGGGTGCGTATATGGATCCGCCGCTGCCTCGGACCTGCAGCCAGTCGTCCGTGATGATACCGTTGGCGGGGGTCTTCAAAATGGCCCTCAGTTTCCAAAAGTTGCAGAACTCGCTAGTAACGATCCTGGCCTTACTCCTAGGAGCAAGAAACTACTAGGAACCCGGGCATCGCTACTAGTAACAAGAAGCTACTAGGGGCTCCTGGCATCGCTACTAGGAGCAACAAGTCGCACTTGAAGAATTGGGGAATGGGCGGTCTTCGACCGCAACTATTGGTGGCCACTCAACCCGAAGGTTGTACTGTGTTGCAACGTGAAATCCACACTTTCTGATTTCTCTCTATGATCTCTACAGCATATATATATATATTATGTAATATTGCATATTTATATACCAAACTCTCCTCAGGCATGTGAGCTTCGCACCTGCCTCTTTCAGCGATAATTGCCATTTTGTCGGGAAATGCTACATGATTGCTATTGAGCCCAGCGGTATCGGCGTGTCGTTTTACCCGTATGTTCAGCATTGTTCAGCAATGATGACACACGTTGAAAACATGTCAAGTAGCTGCCCAAGGCAACAACGCATGTTCAAGGAATATGAAATACGGCGGTAGATTCTGAGACTTGCGTCAATTCACTCACAATGCATTTCAAGCGGCGTATTGCCTTCCGACACGCCCTCATTCAAGTCCAGCAAGGACTTCTTGAGGTCCATTGTTAGCTCATTCTGCTTGATGCCAGCTGCCCAAACCACGCCTAGCTGGTGTGGTTGCATGAACGGACGACCTAGATACCAAAGCTATAGACAAAAGCGGGCTGGCAACCTCACCAATACTGGACTGGTTTTGTCTACGAAACTGTCGCAGCACATACCACCTCCGGAACCTTGCAACCTCTTCACGCATTTCGCCCCGTGAGAAGGAGCGTAGGTATGTCAGAATACAAACAAGGAAGCATATACTGTAAATATAACCAAGCAACTGTCCATTCTACTACTACTTGAAAAAGGACTGATCACCACCCCTTTTAACTTGTGCCAAGCGGCATCCATATGGCAAAGCCCTCAGCAAGTGTTGATGAACATGCAATTGCTGCAATACAGCCCGAAAACTGCACCCGCCAAAAATATACAGTACATATATATATACACACATTTTATTCAGAATGGAGGATGTGTGATCATTGTTATGATCGCGAGAAAGAGAAACAAAGGGAGGGATAACTGGAAGGTAAAGAAGTGCTACTAGATAGACAGCATCTGGTTTCATCTTTTCACTTGAATTGAATGGTACTGTGGTTGCCAAACCTTCTCTTGTCTTAGCAGGAACTCCAGCATTTCATCCTCAACCGCAAACATGTTGCTACAATCTGGCCATAGGTTGCTGGGGTTTGCTGGTCATCTGGCTCGCTGGTGGGAGATAGTCACAGTCTGGTCGGTTGGGCCACTAGCTGGATTTCGGCTCGGGCCACCGTGGCAAGGTCAGATAGGCCAGCGTTTCCTGGTAGCTTGTCAATCTGCACACAGCACGTTTCTCGGATTTGTGACCAGCCACGAGACGACGCTGCAACCACAAGGTTTGCATTACAGTACACTACCCAAAAAGTCGGGAAGGCAAATGTGAAAGGAATAGGAGCAACAACAATGGATGGCTACTAGTACGAGCAGCAAACAAACCTAAGCAAAAATACTCAAACAAGCCCTCCAAAGTCAGATGGAGGGCAATGCAAAGTGGAGATCAGCAAGAAAGCAGCATCCCACACAAATGAATGCCAGCAAAGAAATGAAAGGAAGCAACAAAAGCAACCACCAAAACAATTAGTGGCACGCCATCAACCTGGCTACAGGTTGAGAGCAGAGCATTATCAAACAGAATGAAGGGTGTCAAGACATTAGTATTTGGAAGAACGGTGGACTAAGCACCACAAATAACAAGGGGGGGTATGATGGGGTATGGTATCTCAGATTGGAGGGGCACATGTAAATAATGAAAACTAGACGCTAACTGAAGGACCACAGATTCTCGGAGTGAGAGGCAAGTGTAAGGAACTGAAAGCAACCAGAAAACCAAAAAAACAGCATCATGCATCCCAGCAAAAGGATGGAACAAGCAATCACACCTTTAAAGTCTAGTGCAAACTGTGTGATCTCACCACAGCCAGGGGGGACAAAGCGGTGCAATTCTTGGGAGCTCCGACTGGAACTTTCGTTGGATCCTCTGGTGCAGTTTCTCGCAGCTCTCTTGCCACCCTGTAAGCCAGTAAAACAAGGTCCAAGGCGCATTTCTTCTCCTGACTTTTGCCTCATCTTAATCTCCTTCTTGGTAATCTCTGTGACCCGGTAGCCAGCCAAGACCTCCACGCCTTTCCACATGATCAATCATAGTCCTCCTTTAGCTATTGGGACTCTGATAGTAGACTCCATCTGGATATGTGATGGGCTGCAGCCCTCCATGTGGCTAGCCACTTGAAATGCCGCCTTGCTGTGTTTCAACCCGACTAACAAACGGAGCAGCCACAAGTGACCCAGCATTCCTTTAAAGAATTGGAAGGCAACAAACAAAGGCGGGAAGGAAGGCTTCACATCTGCCGATTGAACGTTTGCCGCCTTTCTCTTCGAAGACCTCGACACACTTCTCGGAGATTCCACGGTCATAGGTGGACAACAAATAGTCACCTGCTGTGAGAGCTCAGTGAGTTCTGCCGGTCCTTTTGCAAGAAAATATCAAGAGCTGGAGCGGTAGAAAGGATGGGGGTTCCATCATATATATACATATAGAGAATCAAAACAACTATAATCAATTCACATATACATGTTCAATATATATATATATATAACGTATATAATTACATATATATATATATTACAGGCATGGAGAGCAGTATGTAACAGGTCGTCTTCTCAGCATTAGGGAGATCCGGGAGCACTGACAATGCTATGGAGATCTGGGATAGATTTGATATGTTGTGATCAAATTGATCGCCATTTGGCCTTTAACCTAACGTGAAAAAGAAAGGATCTTACATTTTTGAAGTTTGAAGTGCACCGCAACCCTCTTGGGAGCAGAAGCTTCGACTTGCTGTAGCCCATAAGCCCAAACCGCAGCAAACTTCAGGTTGAACTGAGGGTACTGTTGGCCTGTGTTGACAAGCTTCACATTGACGTACTCCATGAGCTTCGGGTACAAATCCTTACAAAGCCAATGCAAGACCCTTTTTTCAAGGCCACTTGCTTCAGATGTAAAGAATCAAATCATAACTCCCAAACTCCATGCTCTCTTCAACGACACGCATCAGTGGCATCCCCTGCGAGGAAATCGGCCATGTCTGCGGCAACCTCCACACCTGTGGGTCCACCGCCCACCACCCTTAGCCCGGTCAAGTCTAAGCCGTGCCTCAAAGACAAGAGGACAGACTGAACCAACCAGAGGCTATTTTGGGTCAATGGGTACGACCGTCGGTAGTAAGCCTGTGGACCTGAAACTCTCAAGTTGAAGGAATTTGTCATAGTGCAACGAAGTGGCACGAAGCTCAGCCACCTACAAGTGGCGGTGCCACTAGATCAGAAGAATACCCCCCCAAAAAACACAACCAAATACGACAAATACCCGCTCGTCACAGGTCAGCACAACCATGTCGAAGCAATGCAGAGCTTGCTTCCGAATGATGGAAAAAAAACATCCCAGTCTTTAGATGACGTTAATTAGTCATCTTTTGGAGGCCCCCAGGGCCCCCCCAAAAGAAGACATCATGATCTACAACGCTGGAATGGAGTATGAATTGCATTGGTAAACCCGGAACAATGCAAAACCAACCTGAGACCATGGCAGTTCAGGTTGAAACGAAGTCTCCCTCCTAGCAGGACTGTGCCGCACCTCTTCTTCTGCTTTTCGGTTGCATTTGGTAAAGAAGCCCTGCCAAGTGCCAGGACATGGTCAGCAGAGTTGATTGAAAGCAACTCCACATGGGGATGATAAGGAGGAGCCGTTGGGCCGTTTGATTATCGACCCGACCCCTTGTCATGGCCATCCTGACGATTCCGCTGCTGCCCTGTGAATGCCAGGTCCTCACAACAGTTGCACACTGTGCCTCTCAAAAAGGTCGGTGACTTTGTCCCGCACCTGGCAGGAGCTATCATGAATCTTGCACACCGGTCGTCAAGGCAAATGTCTGGGTGCTGGCAAAAAGTGGCAGAAAATGATCCTGGGGCAGGGAAGCGCTTGTTTGGCGTGCTGTCCCAGCCTTCCGAGCATCCGTGAGTTCCTTGAAAAAGAAAGCATGCTCTTGGACTCCTGGAGTGTTGAAATCATTGGTCTGGGCACCAATGCCGTAGATCAGCACATCCTGCATTGACCGCAGTCAGTGGTACGTGTCCTGCATTCTGAGTCCCTGAGACGAGTTGGCGAGTCTCATCTTACTGAATTTGGCCATCTGACGCCGGACCAAGCGTCATAATCAACGTCAAAGGTGATCTTCCCCTCCACTTCTTCCTGGAACAAATGCAGAGGGCCTGGGGTGGAAGATTTCAAAGGATTCGGATGGCTGGACCAAATTGGTGAATATTTTGGGTCTTCAGGAAAGCAACTGCTCCTGTGGGAAGTGTTCGTAGTCGATATCCGCTGAATTGTCAGGTGTCCCCGCACGGGTACACCTGGTCGAGCAAAGCTGAACAGAAACAGCTAGCGAATATGAATCGTTTTGCCGTGACAAATTTTGGATCCGCCACTTAGTGCAGGTTGTACAGTTCTGTCCTGTGACAATTTTGTTTATGATCTCTACAGCTTCAATATAGAGGTAGAGGGAGTTTCCCACAGCCAAGCCGAGCGGCTTTAACTTCTTGTTCCTCACATCAATCTCTTCGCATTTGGCTTCTAAAAAGTCAGCCTGCAAGCTTATCCAATCCAGCTAAGGGATGCTGGATTCCTTACCAGATTCAATGACCATTAATGATCATACTTTTGGGAACACATGCAACCAACATATATGACATATAGTTATTTGGTAATTACTATCCCATACTATACCTATACCAAGTGTCAATACTACAAGTGTTGCCACAGGGAACTGCAGTGTCTCTTCATTTTGAACATTGTTGCTTTCCACTCATGCAGCTTGCTCCTGAAGTGTGCCAGTGTCTAGACGATTGTTTTGACGCAAGGCAAGCCACCTTGTCTTTGAGCACGCGCCGAATGGGCGTGACAATCGACCTTTCTTCAATTGATCCCATCGTACTTGCTGGCAGCAGGGGTGTGTACCTCGGATCTGTTGCACATGGCCCTACACCAACCGGGAACAAATTGACCAACTTGCTTCAAATGGCAAAGGTCGCACCTTCTTTCAATTCTTGACTTAGAACTTAGAACTTATGACTCCTTTCGTTTTGACACCGGCATGACTTGTTGATTTGTCAACATGCAACGGTGCATACTGCATTCAAGACTCAAAAAGAAGTTGCGAGGTGACACCTCAGATTGCGAGGCATGGCCAATTTCCTCCTTTTCATCCAACCTCCCGGTCCAGAGTTTGGGGTTCTGCAGTGCGCTTCCACCCTACCTAGCTGGACCTAGCCAACCTAGCCTCGAACCAGTCGGGCCTATCGAACCAGTGTTTACTTCATGCAGATTGGCACAGAAGCAAAACCCAAGGCAATGCAGAACTCCTGACAGAGGTTGGCCTACCTTTGTGAAGTAAGTATTGGACATCGGCAGCATTGCTCCTCAAACATGTCTCACACCACGTGTCTTCACTTCTCCTAATGTGCTGACACAACCGCCGCAAGATTGGTGTTGCTTTTGCGCGCAGGGAACTTATGGTACCTTCTCACCGTTCTCACCTTCTTTTTTTTGCTTGTTTCAGAATATGATGCAACCAGAAGGCTACTGTGATGTCGTAGTATTTCGCAATATCATCAGACAAGCCTTGAAGAAACGTGACCGAGCCCCAGCCGGTCCCCAGAACTACCATCTTCGGGCGCCGGCCACTCTTGTGCTGCTCAGGTCTTTCCTTCAGGGGAGGCACTCTCCGCTTCAGCAGTTCACAGAACCCCCAGTGTATGCTCGCTGAAAGAGCACACTGTGGGCTACAAAAAGGACCCTCGTAATACGCTGGGCAGGTTGTATAAGAATTCAACGTCAACATGACAGATTCAGGAGCCTCATAGCCTCAAAAACAACCTCAAAGAACCTGCACCTCTGAAAGCAGCAAATTTGTCCTTGTTCAAGGTTCGAATGCCGGCAGCCACACTTGCGCCGGCTGCCCCTGCCGCTGCTAGCTTCCCTGCAGCTGCCACTTTGGCTGCTGCGGCGGCAGCTGCCACCGCCGGGCCCACCACCTGAAGAGAGGTCTTTGAAGTCCGTGAGGCTCTTCCTCAGTTGGTGAATTCAGTGAATGTTCTCGAAACTTCTCCTATACAAAGCCTGGAGTCCGGAATTGGTGTCTTGGGTGATTTGGAATGGATTGTAGAGAATACTCCCAAAAATCAACATCAAAGGCTGTGGCCGAGTTTCTCGCATGTTTACGACTACGAAGTGCAAGGAGAGTCACAGATGTGACAGCTGCAGCAGTGGAAGTGTTGACTCGGTCAGCCGTGTGCAACTCAGCCTTTTGTGTAGGAGCTTTTGGCAACGGAATGATTGTTCCTGGAGTTCCAGCTCCATACGCGAAACACGGGCTTGCCATGGTCCAAAAGGCGTGGCGTCGAACGCACCTTGTGCTTGTGCCGAAATTCTGCTCATGTCGTGCGACTCAACCAGGCAGACGTGGGAAGCTCAGGCAGACGTGTTGTCCTCGTTGCTCCCTCCATCGATCTCATTGAAGCTCCTCTGCACATCCCTATACTTCACTACACGTTTTCTGTGAACCTACAAAAAGTTCCATGCCACACTGCAATACACGTTCCCTCAATTGGCACCCGGCGCCAGATCAGCTAGCGCATATGGCCTTAAAAGGGGGCCACCGGCTGCTTCGTTTGCTCTTTACATTCAAGACATCTACCTGGACGCTGCTCAACCACACTTCACACATTCCGAACCTGTCGTTCTCAGTTGCTTCCCCGAAGAGTTCTCCAAGTGCCTGCAAGGTCTCGCTGCTCATGGTCCTCATGGTCTCCCTGATCTGTGTCTCCCTGGTCTTTTCGTCTCATCTGTTCTTGCCCCCCCGCCAAAGTGCATCCGCTCCCGGCACAGGGGAAGCCCACACAAGACAGTCAAGGACGAAGTGTTCAACACGGATGCCTGCGAATGTAAACATACGTACCAGTGTGCAGGTAGGCAGGTCATCGCCGTGAGGATGACGGGTATGACAGCGATTCGTTTGGTGCGTGTTTCAGCAACATCAGACATGTGACATTGGCGCCTGCGTGGAGGAGTCCGGTTTGGACTGGTGGATTTTGAGGTGATGGCGGAAATCGAGTTCGTCGTTGATTTAGGGTTCAATTTGATGCATTTTTGGGAGACATCGTATTCCAAAAGCAATGTGCAAATAGCGCTGGATTTGAAGGCACTGTTCCAGAACCCTCCCAAACTTCAAAAACTAAGTGGTTCTATGTGTGTTCATTCACTAACATTGCCATTTGCCGCGTTTTGGGCCTCTCAAGCTGGCACGGTGTTTTATGCACATGGGCACTGGAACCCATCACGAAGCTATTTGCGGTGTTTTCTGGTCGAGAGACATTACAGGCATCACAAATATTCGCAGAGACCGAGACCGCAGAAAATTCGCATACATTGGCATACCATCTTGGAGAATAAACTTGATTAATCAATCTTCAAGCACCTTTGGCTCCCTCACTTACAGTGTGTTCTCGAAACGGCCAAAGTGGCTCTTGCTGCGCTTACAGAAGATCAGCATAGTCTCCCAATCGCATGAAAGCGTGTTTGGCATGCGGCATATTTCAAGTGTCTTGCTCCCGCAGCCTCTTCACTCCAATGTGAGTCCTGCACCAGCCAACATCTTGAACAACTGAGATGCGCTTAACGCAGACTGTGACTGCGAGATAGTCATTTGGCTAGAGACCTGTCACCCACCAACGGCCCTTCAGGCAAATCCACAAAGGATTCGTGCTTCGTTTCACATCTCTTTGCTGCCAACTGCTCTGTGGCTCTTCCCAAAATGAATGTAGCAGCCCCTGGCTCCGGCGGTCATTTTATATACTGAGCACAAATGTATGTGTGAACAAACATCAATGTATGTGTGAACAAAGTAATAGCAGTATGTCGTACTTGTAGAGTTCTTTTTTAAGCAAGTACAGCTGGACCAACTGGCTGAAAAATGCTGAAAGTATGACACCAAGCTGTAGATGGCTTGAAAAACGCTATGAATTGAAGACTCAGCCCCTCCAACTGCAGCATGCAATCTTGCCTGTGGTGATCCCCAACTGTTCTCCCAGCAGCACAGGAGGTACAGCAACACCTCAGGCTCAGGCTTGCTGCAAGGCTCCAATGGCAACAGCGGAACGCTGGCCTGCGTGTCCTTCCGTTGAGTAGATCATGTGGAAGTCCTCCTTGACAAATCAAGTCTGAAGAACCACCTCTCATATCTTACTTCAAATCATGTTTGCAATCTGTGTTCAGTCTTCGCAAATTTATGTAACGAATGTGGCTAAATATATGGCAAGCACAGATTACAGCCAAGACATATAGGGGAAGATTTGTCACTGATCAGCAAGAGTGCACGCATGCGGTGATTGTGAAATGCATTGGATTGATTTAATTTGTACTACATAATTATATAGTGTACTCCGTTTCGTACGACTTGTCGTGCCAGTGGAAACGTTTGTACGTACACGAGGCGCTTTACATGTCGCCCGTGTCTTTGTCTGCAATTGGGCTGAGGTCTTTGAGTTGTTTTGGCGTTTTGCTGCGAAAAACCGGCTATATACAATGAAGGCGTTATATAGAATTGTTTGGAAACGGGGCTGCATTTGGAAAGGCGTCACATGTCACACTTAGGTGTTGTGTGGATTGTCTAAAAGATCCGCAAGACACAACCTGAAGAAGCCACGTGCCACAACGTGCTCTTCACATCTGAGCTAGCGGACGATGAAGCTTGGTAACTTGACTGCCTGGAAAAGAAAACACAACAAAAAACAACAATTTGACTGCCTTGCATGGCCTTACTGCACACCACCTTTCGGAAAGCCATTGCATAGAAGTTCTGACACCGTAAAAATCGGCTTCGCGGGGTGATAGACCAATAGAAACAAAAAGCAACAAAGAACTCCCTACTAGGAGCAAGAAGCTACTAGTAGCTCCTGGCACTACTACTAGTAACAAGAAGCTACTAGAAACAAAGGGCATCGCTACGAACGGAGCAAGAAGCTACTAGCTTCTCCGAACCCTGCAGAGATCTTGGGAGCTCGAAACTGTCTGCAGCTCCGTCAGGCGCCCTCGGCTCTACCACGCTCTGCCTCGCCTCAAAAAGTGCATCGGTCAATACCCTTGCAAGGTCGGAGTAGATGGGCCCAAAGCAAAGTCCAGACCTCGAGCCAAGTGAAATTGTCTTGCCTTCTTGCCTTGGTCACGCTTGGACAGTCTGGGATCAGTACCAACCACTGGCACAAAGTTCAAAGCCAGTCAAGCTGGTAGAATCCCGCAATACCAGACCTTGGCTCTCTTGGCTCCGAACTTCCAAAAAAGAACCCCGACAAATTGTTCTCAACCATCTGCAGTTCACACCAGGGCCTGACGCCTGGCCTCGGCTATATGGAAAGGGGGGCTGTCCTTTCCACCTGACTCCCTCCTTTCAAAGGATCTACTCGTGGCTTTTCCAACTGTGAAAGTGACCAGCAGTATCTGCATTCTCTGTTGGATTCCATGACAGAAACTCATATTAAATCAAACCGAGGTTTGTTCTGGACATGCCCAAAACAGGAAAGGCAACAGTCTCCTGCATACAAGAGCAGAGTATGTCACACGAGATCCACTTGATGAGACTCCGGAGATTTCCATGACTTGGACTTGACGAGTTCCAAGCTTGTGTTGCGTCTGGTTGCTGTGTGCTTTCATGAACACGTTTGTTCAGGTACGAATATGTCAGCACTACCTCCAAAGGCATGCATGAGTTGCAACCTATTACCTCTGGACCAATCTCTGGTTCACTTGGTGTTATACTGATCTGTTTTGCAACTCTTCAGTGTGCTGCAACTCTTACTACGACCTGTAAGGCTGTAAGGGGTCCAAGAGGCCATACTCTTCGAATCAAGGTTTGGCTCAAGATTTGGAACAATTCGGAACCAACTCATCCGACTCATCCTTGTTCCAAAATCTTCGCCTGATTTGCTTGCAGAATTCGTGCTGATCGAGTCAATATCAAACTCCTTTGAAGAGCACTTTTCTGAAAGCTTTGGTCATAGCTCAATTTGAAGTTCAAGTAGTAGGGCCCCTAATGGCCCCTAGCAGCCCTAGCACTGATTTTTGGCTCGAGGCCCCTGCGTCGGCAAGTCAGTCGAGGATGCGACCAGCAACTGGGAACCTGCGACACTGGAGCGAAGCTTCGCAAGAAATGCAGGCCAAAGGACCTGGCATCTTACAGCAACTTTCGACTTGAGAATACGCGGACAACATATGACAAAATGATACTGCACGTCAACAAATTCCCATCTAGCAAGCAAAGGTTTTTTTCCCACAAAACTGAACAAGAAGTGGTAGCTGCAATGTGGCCGTCTGTAGACTCAGGTTCAACTGGCAGCACCGAATCCTGGACCGCAACGAAACCAGAGACTGGACTGGATGGATACCCTGAGTCACAGCCAATCGGGCATCACACAAAAGGCTTCTAGTGTAATAGAAACATGAAAAAAAAAGTTGCACCAAACCTCACAGCAGTACACCACGCAAGAGCAAAATTTCATGCACAGCAACCTACAGCATTCATAGCAGACCTCAATGAGCAATAATAAGAGTGATAATAATGCGCACAGCGTGTCAAAAACGCTTGCTCACCCACACGCATATCCAAACGCTGTGAGCGCGCATTCCCTAGAGCAAAGCAGGCCGCAACTAGGTGTCAAAAACCAGGTTGAAGTGTTGGAGCCATGGCCATGGCTCCTGTTTTAAGCAATTTCTCTTTGCAAATTCGCTCCAATATGCATCGAGCTTCTTTGCCTCAATGGGAGGCAGCTTCTCTTCTGAATTTCTACCTGAAGTGAGTCTGAGAAACTGAGAGCTCCTGAAGTGTTTTGCTGCCGAAGCAACTGGGAAAGAAATCTAGGGATTGGGTGCATTTCAACTGTCTACCTTTGTTTCATACCCACTGCTTTTTGCCCGCAACTACATTCAAGAAGGGCCGCGACAACGTGTGCATTCCAAAAGCATCACTTCTATGTGGCCTAGGGCCTAAGGTCCCAGCTTTCGGCTGAGATCAGCTGCTTCAGTCTTTGGCGCAATGCTCTTGCCGACCTCGCAGTATCAGCAAAGCGGCTTGCTGTTGTCGCGGTGCCTTTTTGAAGACGGGAATTCTGGAAACACCTTTGGAGTTTAAGATTGAGAAGCTACCAATTGAAACCAGTCCAAACCAAAATTCATTGGAGAGAAATACGTCAACGGAATTCATGGGGTTAGCACCAATGAGCACTTGTCCTGCAATCGCAACCGCAGTGCATATATATATATATATAATGGCTGTGCCGGGCCGGGTAGAATAATAAACCCATGACATCAGAAGCCATGCACACAAAAATCAAAGTATGGAAAGCCTCCAAGACACATCTAAGAAGTGATACATATTGCTGCATGTGTGTGTGCATGTGTCATCATGTTTCTATTGACACATTCCACACATGGGATTATCTCCTACTTTCAAAAGCTCGGGCGCCAACTGCAAAATGTCAGCAAGCCTCAGACTCAGAGTGGAGAGACAAAACAATAACCCGAAAAGATCAGTGGCCTCAAAAATATATCAAAGGGATGAACAATGCCAATGATCTACGGCTGCGGCGGAGTGCCAAATTGCTGCAAGCAGCAGTCCTCCGCTTCAAGCAACAAATAGTGTGCTTAGCTGTCAGCTGTGCGATTATGTCAACAGCCAGCTGCGCAATAAAGTTATACCAGCATACACCCCAAGCATTTTCACAGGCAAAAACTGTTGTCGTCGTGACTGTAGTCAGTCATTGGCGCTTGCCCTCCCTGCCCCTCCAAGCAACACAAGGAAGCACTGGAAGGAAAGTGAGAAGCCAATAGCAAAGGAGGACAACCAGACACAAAACACCAAAGCATGCACAAGTGCTGCGCAAAGAGACAACGCCCTGGTCAACATAGGAGGACGGCAGGAGGACAACCCCCGGACACAGGTTTCGCCGGCGCAGCCATGGACTGTGGCCGTGGCCACCCACTTTGTTCCAAAGAGAACCCCAGCAGTAGCAGTAAACTGCAGTAAACTGTTTGCACATCAAGACCCAGATAAAGCATGGACTGGTGCGGAAACAAGAGAAAGAAGGGCAATAAGACGACAACTGAAGAACAAGAAGAGGACACCAACAGGACAATCTGTGACAGGAGGACAGCAGGAAGACAACCAAAGGACGACACCCCTACACAAGGTTCGGCGGCGCGGTCACACTGTGTGGTTTTTTACTCTTTTCATGCCCGAGCTTGGGGCTCGGAGGAAAAGGGAACATGAAATTCTAAATGAAACCTTGCATCTGAGAAAGCCAGAGCCAGAGTGTCTTCCAGATTTCCCCACACATCCCATACCAACTCCCAAGCACTTGGCAAGGCCAAAAACAGCGGAAACAAGCTTCACCAGAACCGAACCGAGCCAACACTGGTACTCGACACGGAGAGGCCGCTGCCCGGAGCCTCTGTGATCCGCCGCACGGAGCCATGCAGTGGTGAGGCCTCAAACAGGGTCTAAGAAGAGAGGATACCCAATAGCGATGGCCTCCAACCCAAGGAAAATGTTCATCAAACTATTATAACATATTCCCTCCTGGCTACATAAAATTCAAGCTATTTGTGGGTCTAGAGTCCGAGAGCTCAAAGTTCCTGAAGCTAGAATCCGAGGCTCCCAGCCCGCGCTTCCTCACAGACTCGAGAAATCCACAACATGTGTTTTCCCCGACCAAAACGCAGCGTGGCCGCTCAAATCCATGATGATTGGGTGGAGGGCTTGGGGTGTGATCGATTGGCCTTCCAGTCTAGGCCAAATTGACAAATGGGACAGCACAGTCTGTCAAAAACAGCTGGCTGCCAGCAGCTAATGGAAGCATCTCAATCTCAACACAACCAAATGCCATGTTCCCTAATTAGATGAATTACAGTAGTATGATCAAGTTGTCCATTATGGTGAAGTCAGTCATGTCCATTCTCCAAATCATGAAACACAAACAGACCCCACGTCTTCATTGTCGGAGATGCTATTCCACCGATGACCGATGTCCAGAAGATCTGGTGCCTTTCCCAGCAGGTACCGCTCCAGCATCGGCCTTGAGCAAAGTCGGGTGTGCAATTCCGTTGAGCCCCCCACAAACCAGGAAACCCATGACGAACCTGCATGTGCATGTCACCCTCAGGCTCTGCTCCCGGAAAGAACATGTCAGTTCTTCCAATAAGTATGCAACGTCCTTTTCTCTGTGAATTCATTGGTGCTTTCGGTCCCAAGGTCTTCAACAAACAACGCAACGTCACTACATCAAACTTGAGTGATCATTAGACATCCCAGCGATGCTAGGCAATGCTGGGGCCCGTGCTCCAGCTCCAAGAGTAGTTGCACCTTAGATATTTCTTGGTTTGGTTGTTTCTGTAGGTATTCCAAATCTTTTGCATGCCCCCCAAAAAATACTGTAAATACTGTTCCACTGTTCCACTACGTCTATATAGGTTCATAGGTTCTTCAGTCAGTCTTTGTCGGTGTGAATATACAGCATCAAGAACATGGAAACACATGTTTTTGCAAACTGCCTTGTACATCAGGACCGGGTTCTTTTGTGCACTGTAGATGCACCATACATAGTATATAGGAAAGGCGTTGCTATGTCATTGGGACCACGCATGCGGCAAAGTCTTGTTCATCACCAACTTTACTGATCCCTTCATGTTATATGTTGACACCATTCTTGACCGAAGATAGTTCCAATGCCAGTTTCAATACCTCTTTCACATACATCTGCATGCGTCAATGCGCAAGTGACTATACCATTGGATTTGGACAATATGCCACTTGGCCCTGATGGATTTTTCATTGCTTATGACTACTGAAGGTATAGAACCGCAACATTTGCTGTCTACTTTCTGTCTATAACAGAAAATACAGTTTTGAAAGGTATAAAAGGGCAAAGCGGCCGAAAATTATCGAAAACTTCATGACTTTGTTCAAGTTGACACATCCACTTTGCATACATATATAATATATACACAAATACGATTGCACATTCTTTTCATATGGGACACTACGAGGGGTTTAGCATGAGTAGGGCGCTATACATACTCAACAGACCTGACATGTAGTGACCTTGGCGCATACAGGCTGTCACTCCTGAATGGTTCCGTGGCGCACCGGCCACCCCGTTTACTGCAATTTATAACCGTGCCCATGGGGCTCGTGATTCTTCCACTCATATTACACAACCAGAACTACACAAAGCAATGGGAGAAGAAACAAGGAGAGGAGCACACAAGTCCTCACCAAGTTAGTAGCTGATGTACATGAGTGAGTGCAACATGGCGCAACCCAAGAAACTCGCCAAGCCATGGTCGGGGAAACAACCAAGTAAGCACCCCAAACTGGCATATAGCCGCCTAATAGACGTGCCATTGGGAGTCCCGGGGGAAGACAGGCATCATGGCCGTCCCTCCCCCTGGGTGTTGCGGGCCTCGAAAACACGCGCCCACACTTTACACATGTGCTCTCGTGTTTCTGCTTCATTTCGGACCTTGGTTGCGTCAAGCCGACCAAGGTCACCCCTGCTCCAACCAGCCACCAGTCACCAAAAGACTGGAAACCAACCAAAACACAAACCAACCAACTCACCCCCAACAACGTACGGGTCAGTCACGTTGTTGTCTCTACACCGGTGGTCAAGGGAAGAGTTGGAGGAAAACTCAACGTCCCTTGAAACTTGAGCCTGAAGCGGCAGGAGTCGCGTGCTCCTGTTCTCCCCATAGAAAAGAAACCAACCCGGTGAAAACCGGAGAAACGCCGGACCCGAAGGACCGGGTTGGGTTTGCCCCAGTCATCCATAAAGGTTCCAACCTACAACCCCGCTTACAGACAAGGTTGCCCCGTCAGCGCCCACGTGGAGGGCTGCGCGCATTTGCCACTTTGCCACCGAAAGTCTGCCACGAAAATCAGCAATCATCCTGAATCAAATCGTTGCAAAGTTCCCATCATACAGTCCTCAGTGCAAATAGGTGATGTGCACAACGTCGTCCTCCATCAGTGCCAAGGTCACTGCAGAGGTTGTTCTGTTCCAAAGCTTGGCGCCCTCCAAGTTGCCCACTCATGTTCAAAGTCTGAAAGGGGCAGTGCAAAGCACGCGCCGCTTGGATTGCAAAACGAAGGCGCAGGTTCTGCGCCACCCTAGTCCCATCCTCCAAGACGATAGGTTCTGGAGACATGTGTTCATCTAAAATGCCCCCACCACAAATTGGGCATCCTTCCATTGCCACTACGTTGCCCGGCCCCCTTCCAAGCGTCAAGTTTGGCCCCACGCACCTGAGCCAAAGTCTCTGCGCAAAACTGAACGCAACCCTTCAACCCCTGAAGTTATGAGGTACCAGCGCTGTCCCCTTGCATCTCCTGAGGCAAACGTTACCCCTGCTGGAGCTTGCTTTGCCGCGTTTTCCTCAAGCTGCTTTGCGACTTGCTTCAACTGGTCTTCAGCTGGCGCAATGCCGATGCCCTGCTTGATCGCGAAGATCTTTGCCTCCGACAGGTCCTGCATGTCTTCCGCCTCAATCTGCTTATCCTTCTCCAAGAGCGCGTTGTAGAGCTTGGTGTTCTCCTGCAAATCCTGCTGCGCTTGCTCGATCTTGGTCTGGAGACCCTTCAAATCCTGGAGATGAGCCGCGCATTGGGCCTTAACTGCATCAACTTTGGCTTGCGTGGGGCACCTTCATCTCTGCAAGCTGTTTCAAGCTGCCAACCGACTGTTTGAGCTTGGCTTCTCTGACATGATGATCTTCTCCACCGCTGCCTTCAACTCGCCTGGCAGGTCCTCGAGATGTTCTTTGAGCAAGGAGGGTAAATTCAGGTGGTGGTGGTGGTGGTGGTGGTGGTGATGGTGGTGGTGGTGGCGGCGGCGGCCGGTGGTGGTAGTGGGGGTTGCGGCACCGCCTGAGTGCCCAGCGTCTCACACTGATGCTTCACTGCATCAGGTAGCTCATTCCTCTGTTCCTGCAAAGTGGCCTGTAGGTCATGCTTGACCGGCTTCTTGTTCTTATTTGCTTTGGCCTCCCATCAGTCAGTCCTGGCGGGGGCCTCCAACAAAGCTTCTTGCTAAGTCTTGGTTGGCCATCAGGCTCCACCTATAGAGTGAAGTTCCACCCTCCCCAGCTAATCTTCCTTTTCAAGTCCAGCACAAGGGCCTGTTTGCAAGGCTGCCCACAACGCAAGCATGTCAGATTGGTTTTCCCTACCACTGTCCTTCCATATCCAGCCCTGGTTGCGTCCCAAGTCTCCTTCTCCCGCGCAAAGGGATGTAATTGAGGGACACCTCGAGGTAGCGAGGTTCGTGCCCTCCTAGCCCTCAAGGATGTCTTATGGCGGGATGTCCGCGCTAGCTGGTCTTCTGGGGCGGCAAACTTGAGGTGGTAGCGGCTTGAATGAAAATGACTATGGCCCTTCGAAATTACGTATACACATTACATATATATATATCTAAATATAAACATTATTTACATGTGCGTGTGTGTATATTACTATATATACACTATATGTGTGCGCGTGTGTGCGTGTGCAAAATGTATATGTAATGTGTGTGTGTCCACACCTGTGCCTAAGATTTCGAGTCGTAAAGGACGCTACTAGGGCCCCTCGTTTTGCTACTAAAGGGCTCCTGGTATCGCTACTAACTTACAGTTTCTTAACGCAGAAAAAGAGGCAGGGGACTGTCTACCCCACAGAAGTGACAGTCCAACGAAGAGGCTTCTGTGGCGGTACTGATATCCGGAAGGGACGCCTTCTGGACGTACCTGCAGTTTTACTGGAACAATTCCTCATTGGTCCCGTTCTTAACTAGAACAAGAAATCCAGCCTTTGCACCGTTTTGCAGTAAGCGGCTAATGCACTACAACAATTTGTTAAACATCTTCAACTTTCCGGACTTCCTCGCCCTTCGGTTTGCACTTTTCATCCAGTCAAGGGGAACTTCGTACTGATACTAGCTCTTGCGAGCAACCATCCAAGTGTGTTTCGCCACAGGGTCCCACTGAGGGCTGTGGTGTGATCCCCGTCAAGGGGCGCCGCATGTGCACAGACCCAGATCCTGGGGGAATCCTTCTGATATTCCTTTTTGCTTTCGTGAACTTCGTTCGATCGTCTCTGATTGGCAGCAAAGCACGATACCACTGATCTTATGCCTCAGGGCCTACTGTGATCAACACCTTGAGATTTTCTCACCAGAAACATGCGTCTATGTAATCATTGTACAGTGCTCAGCAGCAGTCATCCTAGGCAGGGTCCAGCATGATCCTTCAGGCACGACACGAGATTCTTTTGCCCTGATTTTTTTCATGCTCTTCGGTTCTTCCTCTCCTTTTGTTGCTTTTCGTTTCTTGAGGCCTTTCTTTAGGTTCCAGGTGTCTTTCAGAGAAGGGGTGCGCCGGCCCAAATCGGCTATACTTGAAAGCCAATGATGGCAAGGCCTACAGGCCACCCTAACCCACCCTCCCCCCTACCTCCCTACCCCTGGGCCTCGGTTGCTATCCCACCCGCTATTCGGGCAACGGAAGGAAATCGCACTCAACACACTTGTGTGTTGGTGCCTTTCCTTCCGTTTCTCCTGCTCTATTGCTAGCTACCCGGGCGGTTTAAGACCAAAGGTCCCGCTCGCGTTCTACTTTCATTTAACTAAGTGGGCCTCGTAACTACGCCTATCTTTCCTTCTTGCCCTCTTAGTCTGCTTTTGTTTTGTTTGCTTTTTCTGTCTTTCTAAGGCTTTTTAGGTCGCTAGTAGTTTTCAACCAAAGCGCCAATATTGGCGCTATGTGTACAAAGTTTTGCGACCGGCGGATACCAACGACGCTACTAGGGGCTTCTGGCCTCGCTACCAGGAGCTAGGACGGTACTACCAGGTTGTAAGGACGCTACTAGCGACTCCTGGCCACGCTACTAAACTGCAAGCAAGGGTCAGCGCGCCGAGTACGGCTTCATGTGTGTGTCCACACTTGTGCCTAAGGTTTTGAGTCGTAAAGGACGCTACTAGGGCCCCTGGATTTGCTACTAAGGGCTCCTGGTATCGCTACTAACTTACAGTTTCTTAACGCAGAAAAAGAGGCAGGGGGACTGTCTACCCCACAGAAGTGACAGTCCAACGAAGAGGCTTCTGTGGCGGTACTGATATCCGGAAGGGACGCCTTCTGGACGTACCTGCAGTTTTACTGGAACAATTCCTCATTGGTCCCGTTCTTAACTAGAACAAGGAATCCAGCCTTTGCACCGTTTTGCAGTAAGCGGCTAATGCACTACAACAATTTGTTAAACATCTTCAACTTTCCGGACTTCCTCGCCCTTCTGTTTGCACTTTTCTTCCAGTCAAGGGGAACTTCGTACTGATACTAGCTCTTGCGAGCAACCATCCAAGTGTGCGTGACTGCATGTCTTGAAAAAAGAATGGAAGTCATGTAGAAGTGCCCTTGAACGACCAAAGTACGGTGTGGCAACTGCAAAACTACAAGACCTGCAGACATTTCACCGCTCTGCCTGCACTGGTCCCAAGAATTTTTTTGCTACTGTTACGTGTTTACACTTGGTCTGCAAATGGACAGGATATGACATGGTCATGTTGATCTTCTCAACACGAATAGGTCTGTATTTGTCTGGGGTGAGAACAGCATGGCAGCGACCAGGAGCCTGTCAAATGGAGGCGACCGTAGAGGTGAGAAGTGTCGGGCACAAACGGGATTCACTCAATCGAATCCTGCTCTGCGAGATATGTACTCCATTAGAATCCCGAATGCCACGGGCCCTCCATTTAGATTCCCATTCTTGGGATCTTTCTCGGGCATGCAGGTGAGAACGCCCTTGTCGCCTGGACTTCCTTTGGATTTATCAAAGAGGTGCTCCAGGACACCTGATCGGCTTGAAGTTGGCCGAACATGCCGAAACAAAAACTGTCCTCTGGAATTCAACTGGACTCTTGGAGCATCCAAAGGGTTGGCTGAAATGACCTGTTGATCAGCAACCCTGAGCTGAACAACTGCTGACAAACTTGGGGGCGCGCATAAGGTGAATGACAAGCAGAAGAACTGGAGGGAAATTCTTCCTCAGGCACTCGAGATTGCAAGCCTTCGCGATTGATCTGGGAGGCCAAACTGCTGCCACCAGGAAACCTAAGTCACTAAGTAAAAACGTGTAATCAAGGTCCCCGCATCAAGTGAAGCAAGACCTTAGACAGTTGCGCGTCGCTCTTAACGGAATTTGACATGAAGACTTTCTTGGTGTTGCAAGTGCCGCAGGAAAAGCTTTGACACAAAAGAAGCGTTGCAGCAGCGCGCTCTTTTGTGCTGCCACTACGTGAGCTGTCTCATCATTCCTCAAGTTCCTGGCACAATTGGGATACTTTTCAACTTTCAAAGCCTGGTGCAAGGCTGACCAATGGATCGAACTACATGTGCAGTGGACGTGCGCTTTGCAGTTCATATTGAGGAAGCTGCTAATGGCATAGACGACATATATATATATATTATGTATATTGTGTATTAGATATATTATATTGTAGATAGATGTAGTATCTATGATATATAATATATATATATATAATACACACAGGATCATCATCTTATAACATAATATACTGAGAGATGCGTGCTGCTGTTGGAAATTTGGTATAGTTGACCGTCCTGCCTGGAGCTCCCATGCTGGGACCTGGCATCCCATGAATGATGTCAAAGCTCGCAAAGTCTGTGATTACACGCGGGACAAATTGCTGATGGGTAAACCCGCCAGCCGCCAGCTACTTTGATAGGTGGCTAGCTGGCTGATTCCGGCATGAAGTAGTAGATGGACAAGGCCCTGGTTGCAAGCCTAGCAAAGCCTTAAGGGCGGCCAGAACAAGGGCAAGAATGGTCGGGTCAACAAGTGTCCAGCTTCTAAGGTGGCAGATCCCACGGGCAGTAGATCCGCTAATGGACCCTGAATAATCTGGAAACGATGGTCTTCAACGAATGACTCTAGATCTACTGCGGGTGGGATGACAAAGCAGTGGTCAAAGCATGTAAGGAAAAGCTGAAAGAACACTTTCTTGATGTCTTTAAATGAGACAATCCCAGACATTCGTCTATGCAAACCTATATAGCGCCACTTTGGACTGCATCAGTGCAGTGCAAGGCACAACGTCGAAGAGCAATAGTAGAGTGAATGGATGTTCGGTTTATGTTGAGCTCTTAATATAATCCCGCCCATCGCTCATGACTGCCAAATTGGGATTGGGCTGATAGGATCCTGCCACTGCCACAGCTCTCGTTCACCAAAAGAAGCGACTTCATCCTGCCCAAATGACCATGAAACGCAGCCTTGTCTCTCGATGACATACTTCGCGTGGCCCTGGCTGGTGGGTGGTGTGCTACGTCTGCTACGTCTGCTACGTGAAACACGTGCTTTGTCAAAAAGTGCTGTTCTGGAGACTGTAATCCAGTTGCAAAAAAAAGGAAAACATCCTCGCCAGGCCTGGTTGGTGGCATAAGAAATGATGTCAGCAATCTGCACGTGCCTCAAATGGAAAAAGCTTCTGGTAAGGGAACAAACATTCTGGTGTTCTGCCCACAGCCTGGTCTGCATGGCGGTGACATGCTGCGACTGTAAAGATTCAGGATCTGCAATTTCACTGCTGATAGCTGGAAGCTCATAGTACTACCGGGACCGAATGACTTGGCCCCAGGGTTCTTTGCCTGTGTTCTGCCTAGAGGACAGGACAGCTTACAAACACTGCCAATCTAAGCCAGCATGTGTCTGGTGCCTAACATGACAGCATACGGCAACAGTTTACGTGTCAAGGGTCATAGAAGAAAGACAGGGAAGCTGCTGGCTGAATCCCAGGGAATCCCAGGGAGGATTCAATCAATTGACCGCCGAAAGTCCTCGGCCGGGTCGTCGCATAGATAATCTGGTCGGCGATGTCCTCCGCGACCAAAGGCACAATATTCTCATAGACCTGGCAAAGAGTTGTCTGGCTCTGAACATCACCTCAATCAGAATCTGCAATTGCTTTCCTAGCTTCTTCTCTAATTAGCCTGAGGACTCCCATTGGTTATCAAGGTTTCTTGCAGGTGTCCTATCCCATGTCCATGGTGTGACTACTTTTATCTTTTCCTTCGCTGATTTTGTTGGATGCTCAGCTCGCATGAACGATGAATTGTACCCCAACCCATAAAACAACATTGTTCTATTTGACAATTCTGTTCCCTTCCAACTATCCCAAAATCCTCCACCAAAAACAATAACGGGAAAGTCCGCAGACTATCTGTATTGCGAAGAAAGAACAGTTCCAAACAACATCTCCAGTTTCCGTTCCTTAAACCCTCGACCCATTCAACACCTTGGCTGCTTTGGCGTCATCGCCGAAGCGGACCTTCGAAAATTCTGTCTCCTCAGCAAAGCAGGTTGAGCGGCCATGGGGCAACCACATTGGGCTTAGAGTTAAAGCATTTAGAACCTAATTAGCAACTGAATTCACGAGCCCATGCAGGAGAAGTTGAGGGAGGTTACTGCTGACTGAAAAAGACATTCAAGGTCAGGAACAGTCACTCTTGTGCTCAGGGCATTTCTGGCATCGCAGGCTTCTAAACCAACCAAATCATGTATGGTTAGACCATACAAAATCCATGGTAGTACAAAGGAGAGCCTGCGAAGTCACCTTATCTCAGGAGCAAGTCGCCACCATCCCGGGACTGATCGCTGTGACCCTGGCATCTTGAACAATTTGTTGCACAATTCAGACAAACTGTGCAGCCCCTCCAGCCTCTACCTCGTATCAGACTCAAAGAACCGAAATCCGTGGTACTTTTGGAGAAATCGTTCGTTCACCAATCCATCGTTCAACTTCGTTCATCAGCCTGATAGGCGTTCCGGCCAAGTCATGTCTGGTTGCAATGGTAAACCTCAGGTCGCTTGAAGAGCGCGGCACTTAGCAAAAGAATGCAAAAGAGGAAAGAAATAAATACAAATATAAATATATATAGAGAGAGAGAGAGTGAGAGAATTGTGAAGTTCACGAGAGGGTAGGGTAACGGCCCCAATTGACGTGGCCCCCCCCTAAAGCGCCTTACCTTCTTTTCCTCCTCAGTCTGTCAGCTTCGCAATTCCACCTGCAGAATGGAATTCCCTGGCAATACCGACAGTGTTTCCCTCATCCCCCAAAGCCCTGGAATGCCTGTGAAGACTGGCTTAAGGCGGCTTCTTAATACAGCTTTACCATGCTTTACCACCCCACACTCCGACATCCACGCGTGAGACGTGGATGGAGTGTGTTACTCCACCGCTGATGAAGCAACCAAGAACCCAAGTGAAACCAAAGAAAAAACAGCTCAATAATCCACAATGCACATCTTTACCATGCTTTACCACAAAATCCCTTAATATCCCGTAAGGCCGCCAGCGTGCAGGAGTCCAAGATCCAAGTGGAATGTGAAACTGGAAGATCCGTTCGAATCAAATGAGGTCCATGGAGCATCCAATGGAGCCTAATCAAGACCGAGGGTCTTGGATCGCATCCCCTTCTGACCGAGCCAAGAATCGCATTGACTGCATGCTTGGTTGCACAGTAGGCGGAGCCACCGACATAGCACTCGTGACCTGGAAACAGTCGTCATAAGGGAGGGCTGAAGAACATGTTCTGCAGGCTTGAAACAGCATAATCACTACCTTAGCAACACGGGATACATGAATCTTCACTTCACCGAACCGGTACTCCTCTTCCATTGCAGTAAACTTGATTGACTCAACAAAAGCCAGCTGCTGGCGCTCAAATGATCTCGCGCCAAGATAACAAAGTGAACAACGCCAGAAGGCAAGGTTACAGTAATTGTTGAGTCCGTCATTTCAGTTTGCTCTGTGAACAAATTGTACTGTATTATATTGTTTATGAAACTTCAAACAAAATAGAGGTGGGAAGTCGCAAAAAAAGATTAACTCCCTTGGCCCTGAGGCGAAACTGCCGACAGCTCTAACCACATGTTATACAACCAAACACTCTCACCTTTCTAGTCTGCAAGACAGCAGGCCTGCTACGGAAGAGATATTCACAATGTGACCTCTGCCACGTTCTTTCATTTGGGGTCCAAAAGTCGATACCAAGCACCTCGGCCGCATCGGTCAATGTGAAAGACCTAACCCGCAGCAAACGTTGCACACATCAGCCACTGCACTGAAGCTCAGAGAAATAAGACATATGCCCATAGCAAAGGCACATGACAGCTTGGACATTGGTGGCGAGCATTGTTTGGATGTTCTCGAGCTCATTCCTTACCAAGTTTTGTCGCTCAAATCCAGTCCAGGTGTCCTCCGGACCTTTAGTGACATGCTTTCTCAAGTGCTAAATTGTTAACCTACCGGAATAGCGGGACTACTGGCCACGCATATTGAAGCATCAAGTGCATTTGAAGCTGCACCGCAATCCTATTCCTCGTGTATTGTATTGTGCTTTTTGTATGGATTTGGCCTACAAGCCCTAGACCCCAAAGTGCTGGGCAGAAATCCAACGTTGCAGAACAAGGAAAGTGAAACTGGCAGTCTGCACCTGTGTTCTTCCCAAATGTCTCAAACCCTGCCCCGCACAAGAGAAACCCACGTTGGTGGTGCCAAAAGGAAGGAACCTCAAAGGAACCTAGCGTGTTTCTTGGGGTCGCCATGGGTCATCAAAAACTCCCCCCAAAAAATGGATGTCAAATCCTTTCGGGTCTTTTGGCTCGATCTATCAGGTTGGCTTCAGCTCGACCAAGTTCCGCTCCAAGTGGCTCAATTGCACTGGCCACTCCAAGCGCGAGGCCGGCGTTGTTGACCAGAATGTCCACCGCGGGCATGCCAGCAGCCTCCCCAATTCGGGGACGGGCAATGCTTGCTGAATGGTCCAACATGCATAGACGAATCTGCCTGGTGAGATTGTTTTAGCAACCCTGAAAGAGGGAGGGAGGGAGAGAGAGAGAGAGAGAGATCACATTAATCAATTTAATCATTATCATTATACAAACACCCCTTGTCAATAAATATGAACGACCCATAAGGAACACTTTCATTGACCACGGATTCTATTGGATTTCCATGACCGATCATGGCTCATGATGCTTTCTAACATTCAACGGGCCAACCTTCAACTGCTCTGGGAGTTTGCGAATCTTCTCGGTGTCCTGGACCTGAGAATTGTGTGCATCTTCTCTTTGTAGAAATTCTTTGAGCATCTGGAAGCAAAACTCATGTTGCAAGCAGCTTCGAAAAATCCCTACACCAACACAAATGCGGAATCTTGGTGGATCCAGTGAGTTTGGTTGAAGAATACATAATGTCAAGGATGGCGGTACATCTTTTTGCCAGGAAACATCCAAAGTCGTGATGATGGGCTCCGGAAGGGCTGCGAAGCGATCACAAAGGGCCTTCTTAAGCGCCTCGCAAGGCATCAGCGAGCGTGGGTTCTGCAGGTGATATGAGAGTGGAGAAACCACAAAGAAAGAAATAATGCGCTCCCCGTACATCCCTTACAGCACCGTGGCTATAAACTGAACCTAGCATATCATGGATTGGCAATGAGGTATGTAAAGCATTGGAGAATCTGCGTCATTTTTTTCAGCCATTGACATTGAAGAGACCCAAGAGTTCATGTGGAACAGAAACCAAAACAAAAGACTCCACGACTGAGGCATCACATGCACTTCACACAGGTAGTATGCAACCTAATCAGGAAAAAGATCTGCATAGCAATTAGATTTATCATATGGGTTATCTTAGAAGGACCCCCCCTCAACCCTCCCAGGATAATTACAGTAATCCATTTAACTGAGACCCTGGGACATAGATTTCAAGAAGTTATCCAGGATGTCACCATTTGTTAGATAATTTTTCAACAATCAATGTCAAGGGGCCCCCTACAAAAGCATGCAAGAGCAATCATAGACAGCAAATGTTCATAGCCTTCCTTTCTCGGAACATTAAAGCCCAACAAACCAAGCACTGTATCCTTTGCACCTTAACCTAGAGGTGCGAAAGCTACTACAAATCACAAATGTGTGTGGGATTGTATCTGCTCCGTGGAACAATAGTTACATTTCCGTGGCTCCAGTCCAAGCCCGTTGCTAGTTTCAAGAATACTCAGTTTGCAGTCCAAACAGAAGATACGAAAACCTCAGAACTATCAGAACGACCTGCTGATCTCTTAATTTAACCGCAGTAAGCTTCACATACAGACCCCCCCCAGCCTAAAAAGGTTAACCGTTGAAATTTAACCAAAAAACATTATCTGCTAACTCAGAGGGGTGTGTGGATAATTTAAAGATATCCCATATGATTTATCTTGCAATTTAAATTTGCATCAAGCTTGGAACAGTCTTTCATCGAAGCTATGACTTTAGAGCGTGGGATTGTCTGCACTTGAAGACAAAGGGCTAGGGATTAGCATTCGTTTGGATTGCATTGCTTGTCTTCATTCATGGTTCACAGCATTGCTTTTATCGACTGTGACTTTGTTGAGCTCGATAATATATTGCCAACTCATGTTGGACCCGAGTATATTCCGGAAATTCCTTCTATATAGCAAGCGCAAGTATATTCCTTCTTTATTGGGATGGACGTGCGGTTCATTTAGGCTTGACTCAGTCGCATGACTTTAGGTGGTCATGTCGGGCTCCTTGTTTCTAAGGGTCGTCGAAGAAACTCCATACATCTCCACCGTACACCCAACAAGCTTAAGCATCTATGTGTTCATAGATCTTGTGTGTATTTGTCTGTGACGTTCCCAGGCGCTGTTTGTGTATAGCTATGCTTCGGAGCTGTGCCTCGGGTGCGGCTTCGCATATGCTTCGACTATGAGAAGCCTAGAGTCAAACATTCCACACCTCTACATAAACTTGAACACCTCAAAACAAAGTGTTTTCAAAAGAATATACACACCCATTTGAGTTCTTAGATCGAATGTTAAGTTCGGCACACAAATCTGTTCACAAAACCGCTGGTGGCTCTGCGGCGCCTTCCCCATAATGGAAGCTGTCAGATCATGGTCCAATGATTTGCAGATAGACTGACCGGGACCGAAGATCTTGCGGTCTTTCGACGCTTCAAAAAGCAGTCCGGCCTCTAGACGATCAGTGCGCCGACCACAGAGAGCCTGTGACGACCGAAAAGGCTCGTGATTCTCCAACACCCCCTACACACCCCCTACACCCCTTATGTTCATCAATCTTTTGAGCTGCATACTGCCCACCCATGTCAAGTACCCTTGCTTTCAGCAGAAAAAGGATACGTCCAAGGTCGGGAGCTTTGTCGTCCCTCTATCTGTCGCCAAAGATCTGAACACAAAGATTCCACGATCCGATCGCGGATTTCACTGTAGACGCTTTGTGCTTCATCTTCTTTCAATCTTTCGGCAAATGGCCAAATGGCAGTGGAGCTCTGCGAATCGCCAAGCAGTAGCTTCTCCAATTCCTCACAAATGGCTCGCCACACTTTAGACAAGAGTGGCAAGGTTGATAGACTCTAGCACAATTGCACGAGTGATGTCATTTGACTTCTTACCACTGCTGAGCTAGATGTTGGAAGCACCAAACTGTTCACTTGCTTTGAGTGTGATTCGTCTGCACAATCGTCGGGCTGCTCGCCTGCTGTAGCCCCGGTGATGAGCACAGTGGTGCCCGTGAGATCCAAAGGTTTATACAACTCACTCGGCGCACAAGACATGGCCGCAAAGGTGACAAAAGTGCAGTGGTCACAGCACTTGAAGTGAGCAGCCTGCTGTGTCTCATGCTTGTGAACCAGCTCTTTGCCGGCCTTCACACTCAACGGTTGTCATCTGCATCACTTTGATATGGGGGTGTGGGCTGATGAGAGCTCGGCCCATCTCCTCTGACTCTTTCGTTTCGGGAAGCTGCTTTGTTCGATTCGAAGGGGGAAAAGTGTTGTCGTCACTTCAGGTGCTGTCCATGTCAAACAGCTGATTGAAGGTATTACAGGCAAGCACAATCATGCACAAATAAGGACACAACAGTGCAATCACAACGTAGGACATCCACGAGCGAGTCATTCGCCGAAGTGCTCGGCCATTGGCTGCTACCAGTAGGGCAACAATCAATCACTTGTGGTCTGCGGCAAGTCCATCACATCTCTGGGCCCGTGGGGATTAGAAAGATATCGATGGACCATGTCCAGTTAGCCAATCTAACTGCGGTGTCGAACAAAGAAATCCAAACATCTGGGTGATTGAGAGTGATTGAAGACCGAAAATGGCGAACATCATTGGAACTCCTCTCGGCTTCCCGGCTGCCTAACAGCTCTCCCGTCTGCTGCGCCGCGTGGCGGAGCTCCTCGAGACTCACCGCAGCCAAATCCTGTCGCGAGACCCAAAGATCTGCCCGTCCGTTATGTAAACTCTTGATCATTAATAACCCCCCATATGAAGACATGTTTTAATTCAAATACTCTACCCACACCCGCTACAACAGCAAGGGGTGGCGTAGAAGCGATTCAGACTCGCGAGTCCGTGCATTCAAATGGGGGAAGTTATTAATCAAGAGCCTACATTAAAGAACATAACACACCAAAGGTACCAGGATGACTTTGTTTTCTTCTGCAACAGTCTCTTTTGATGTTTGTCAGCGAGCAGCACCTCAAAATGTATGGGCAGACTTCCACGTTGACCTCGGGGTCACCCGTTTTGTGCCTCGGCGGACATCCCTAGCCGCGCATGCAGATCTTCCATATCACGTCCAGCATCCTGCAACTCAACACCGAAATTTGAAATGCTCCAGACAAACTGCCGAAGATTCTTCCGCAAAAGCCACGACCCAATGTGAAACCCTCGAAGTGGGACACCACTATGTAAGTTTTGGCAAAGAAACGGTTTACATCTATACCTAGAGGAACCGTTGGCAGAAATTTGTGCCGAGGCACCATTGTGCCCTGATTTCAGCCAAATTCATCGAAAGTGCCGAATCCAACAAGTAACGCCGAGCAATATGAAAACTGCCGACTTTAATGCGTTTCATTTGCTAGATTCTCAAACCAGCACTTGCCAGATCTTGCCAGTCTTACCAAGCCCTTCCCCGCCCCTTTCCCAAACCAAACCACAGGGTGACCATCCACAGTTTGGGCTTGCATATGAGGACCGAGGGATTGGCATCCACAGTTTGGATACCTTGGAATCCTTCACCTGGTGCTAGAGATAGTTAATCCACAGTTTGGGAGTGCTTACAGAGAACACACTTGAAAGATTCAACAATGTTTGCCTAAGTGCATGCCTTGTCTTCCGGACCTTCTTAATATTTCCCCTAGGGTTTTCTTGAAAGGCCAATCCAGGCAAGCAAAGTTCTGTCTTTGCTTCTCTGGATCACTCTCCAAAGAATGCTTTGCCGCTTCGCCCTTTCATGATCCAACCTCCCTTGACAAGGGTGGTTGTAGAACAGCTGCAACTATTGGGCCAACAAAAAGATCTTTCCAGTGCAGCCATCCAAGATGTTGATTCTTATATAGGAAACCCCAACTAAGCAAAAACATGGTTACGGACAATTGCGAATTGTCGGGCAATTACGCCGAATTATCGGAGATTTACGCCGAATTATCGGGCAATTACGCCGAGATCTAGGGATGACAAAATGTTGGAAAACTGTGAACAACTATTGACTGCCACGATTTGACGCAAGGGTGCCCGGTTGGTTCACGGTGAGTTCATGTTGAATTATGCATGGTCCATGCACAGTCCACTAACTTTCAAATCTGTCCATTCACCGAATATGTTCAACAACAGCTTTGTGACACTGCAATAATTATAGGAAATCAGGAAAGCGTGTTGCCTCGGGCCACAGAAACCATTTGAATGCCAGGCCTTCTGAATTTCTATAATTTTAATAAACGGTTTTCTTGATCGGATCCATGGCTGGATTTGAGTGTTTACAATGAATCCCTAAGTCAACAATGCTTGGCAAGAGGTAGGAACTACTGAAGAAAAACACTGGGCGTGAACAGCCAGGGCGCACCTCAAGAATGCCCGGTTCACCAGGTATTTGATCCCTAGAGGATTGTCGAGCCGAGTTATCATGAATCACCACAACCCGGATTGGTTCTGCATCTAATCAACCAATCAATATGTTCAAGAACCTCAAAAACCAAAAACGCCGAGTCCATCTTGGTTTTAGCAAATTACGCCGAATGCCCTTTTTAAGGGCAAATTACGGGTAAAGGCGCTTTTTGCTGAGGTGACATAATTTTTGGTGCATTTGGAGTATAACATATAAACACTCCAAGGCATGACTCGGTTGTTTTCAGTAACAGCTGGAACACGCATGCAAAAATGCCAAAAGAAAATGGATTACAGTAATCACGACGGAATCAAGAATAAGAAAAGAAAACAAAAGAAAGGAAAGGAAAGGAAGGAAAAAGCAAGTTCAGAAAACTTGGATTCTTGCGTAATCTTGCTTTATCTCTCCTCCAAGGCCAGGGGCCGAGCTCCGATGCGCAACAAGTCTGCAAAGCTGGACGACTGCCTTTCTCGTTGGCCAGCCTGACGTTCTCTGATCTAAAGACTTGAAAGGCTGATGTGTTCAAAACCTTCGATGTGTAAAGGACCAGGCTATTCATGGAGTTGAGGGAAGAATGCTCAGGATGTATCTGAAGTGTTGTTGCAAAACCAGGAAACACCCACCGGAGGATATCTACTCTTTTGCACCTCTTCTTCTATTTCTTTCATGCCTAGCATATCTATCTTTCTTTCTCATTATTTGATTTATTTATCATGATTTATCCACATCTTTGGTGACTGCATACTTTTTAGCCCAGAGCAGCTCATGTCAAGACTCAAAGCCTGCCAAACTGGCCTGGCACTTGCTCCTACCATGACCAACCCCCTTCAGGAGTACCCGCACTTCTACAGCCACCTACCTTCTATGCCATACAATACAATAGAGCCTTTTGTTGCACTGCATCCTGAAGCTTTGCCCAACAACTACGTATAACTACGGAGGCAAGTCTTAGCCAAAAATAGCTGTCCGAAAGACCTGGCCTGGGTTTTAGGGACTGGCATAAAAAGGAATGTGCAAAACAGCAGATTGCTCAATTCGGCCTCGAAATATCTGCTGCAAAGAAGGAATTCCTGAGCAAAGGCGAAAAGGCCGTCCTCTGTGTGCTTCGCAGACAGCACTCGTGGTGATCGTAGAGGGCCCAGCGAAGACTGGACTTTTTGAAGCTTTTCCATCTCTGCAAGGAGCTGGTCTTCATCCCTTGAAGCTTTCAGCACCAGTCCTCACGAAAGTTGGCCAAAGTCCACAAGAAAGTGAGAAGCACTATGACTATGAGCGTCACCATATCTGCAAAACACCACTGCATTGGATTCCACTATGGCTACTGCAACTTTCTTGCTACACCCAAACCCACATGCAGGTGTCTCATGCAGCTGGATTTTGCGGTTTGTTGCAGCAAAGCTTCTGTGAGGTTCAGCTGGAATGGCCTCCCCAGTCTTCTCTCCCGGATTCGAAAAAAGCGGCGTAAAGCTACCAAGCAGAAAGCTTCCAGCACCATGGGCAGTGCTGGCGGCTGCCCGCAAGGCACTCATGTGCCAAATGTCGACATCATCAGGTGCTTTTGAGCTGAGACTGTTTAAGATTTGCTTCACCAAAGGTTGGATGGACGGATGGATGATCTTGGACCGAAGATCGGCTTCCAAATGCCTTTGGGTGCTTTGGCTCCGGTTTTCTGTGGCCAAATGTCGTTGCCAAGGGCAGGCCTGAACCATGACTGGTTTCCTCCGCTCCCAGTCTTCCTGAAGCTTCCGAGTCGACTCCACTGCTCGAACATCAGAAGGTGGCATAAAGTCTTTGGCCACCAGCTTGGTACGAGCAAGAAGCCATAGCTCCTCTGAAGGCTGCCAGGCGCTTTCCATGGCTGCTGGCTCAAATGTGCATGCGTTGTCAGACAATTGCCTTCGTAGGAACGGTTTGTAGATGTCTGTCACGGTGGATCTGCTGCAGTCTGAGGTGTAAAACATATACTATATATATATATTTAGATGTCTTATTTTATTATATGTTGACTTGCATACGACATACAACCTTCGAATTCCTTGAAACGAAGGCAGCAGGCAGCAACGCAATCAGCATCCATCAGCAAAACTGCCGCTCAGCCTAGGATTTTGTGAAGAACCCCAAACCCTTCCATGAAATGTGCATCTATATGATTCTACATGAATCTAAAATGATTTGCACATTGAGTTGGCTGCGCCAAAAGAACAGCCGAAAGAACGGATCTGCAACCATCTGCGACTCATTGACTCTTCTCCTGCTTTGGCCAGAGTCATGCCTCGGGAAAGTATGTACAGTCTGACAGGTCCCGAGTCCCTATGCTTGGCGGCAGTTTTTTACCGCTCCTGGGAAGAATGATTTGCCAACTCTGGCAAAGCAAACAGTGACATAAAGTGACCATCCCTCGTGCAGTGCACGAAGAAGAATGCAAACAAAGGATTAGACCGGTTCAACCCCAGTCTTTCTAAACGTTCACAGAATTTTGTTAACTGTCTTTCACACATGTCCATACGTTTACTGTATGTCTGTATTGATTAAAGCATCTTAAATCTATATGCCTTGCTTTGCCAGGGATAGTGTGCCATGCCTCCAACACAGGGAGGCATCTACGAAGCAACAAACGAAACAGGATTGGCTTTGCAATCCCAGCGCGCAGGATCACACGGTGTTACACGCGGCCATCAGCAAAAATCAACTCAAGTTGCTGCATCTGCGCGTGACGGGCAAGGCCACAGCTGCCAATGACATTTCGTCCGCACTCCATGTTCTTATCTCTCGTCTCTCGTGCCTATAACCAATCAATATATATATATATATCTTTATGGCATGAGTATCCCAAAACCTCAAACAGGTTTTCTTCGCCTCTCAGCTCCTCTCATGATTCTTCACGTCTGCAGACAAACCTCAGGCCTAACTAGAGGCCTAACTTGTGGATCGAAGGTCTAGAGACCCGGTATTGGACCAGCCTTCACGATCCTGCTTCTGACCTCAGGAGATTAGTTACAGCAGCCAGGCAGCCACAAAGATGCACATGTGCTGTCCTATAGGGGTCAAATGTTGGAGCCATCATCTATCCATGCCATCAACTGCATCACCAAAGAACAAAAGGGACAGCATGGTGTCGAACCACATGGTGTCGAAGCACATGTGGAGAGACAAAACATCCAAGTCTGTCTTCTGAGGAGCAAACCTCTCTTTGGCACCCCAAATTTGAACTTCAAGCCTGGCCAACATGGTGCAAAGGTTTTTGGCACCCGTCCAACTTCAAGAGCCTTTGAGATCCTCATAGCGACTAACCTCTCAAACGCTAGGAGGTCGGTGCAAAAATATGCAAAGGTGTTTCCTTTGCTACTCAAAGGTAGCAGCGATATCTTGCCACAGAATCAGTCACCCAACCATCTGGTCCTGTGGGATCCGGGGTGCTCAAGCAAACGGCAGTCGGCATTCCAACCTTGGTGCAGAAATACTCAGGAGACACAAAGCCTTAAGTCTTGATATCTTGACTGGAATGCCACTGGAATGCCTTCAGGTGGCAACGAAATGTCCAGCGCAAGACAGAACACTGGACACACACGCTTATCTTTCATGTCCTCTCAAACTTCACGGCCTGGACCATGCGTTCCCACAGCCACTGTGTCTCCTTCACATGGGCACAAAGGTTGTTCTAAAGTATCACAGGTGTCTGTACTCTGGAAATCTCAACAATATCTGCACACTCCGATTCATGTTCCAAAGTGGATGGCATGGCCACTGATAGGCCATGAGCTCCTCTACCTCTCCAGGTGGGTCAAGACTTGTCGACCCATCAACCAATGTTGGTCTCCACTTTCAATATTGGCGGAAGGGTACCAACGTTACCAAACTGACCCACATGTCCAAGAACCCTCGTTCCCTCCCCCTCACGGAACAAAAATGACAAGGTTATCATTATTTTTATATTTAATATAAATATATGTATCTGTGAATGTGTTATATGTGTATTGTATATGGAAAAGGGCATTCTGACAGCTGACACAGTACGGAACTTTGCGGATTTGCTCCTCGAAGAACCAGCTGTTTATGATCGGTGGGATGCGAGAGTAGCGGTCAAGCAAGTCCACCTCCAGTCACAGGTCCATCCTTTTCAGAAAAAGAACTGACAAAGCCTAACTAGAGATAACTAGAGCATACAAGTTCGTGCTCCAAACAGTCTCAGAAAATGAATGTCATGAGAGTCATGAGAACAACAATCTAAGCGAACTCTGGATTCCCAGCTCATTGGAAGGCTAAGCACCTGTGAGAGCCACTGCAATTTCCGCAGGCAAATGCAGCACAGCGAGAAGGGAAGCTGGGCAATGGCCTGAACGAGTATAATTAAGCATATTAAAATGAAACACGGAAAATGAAACGAGATACTGTCTATCCAGATATCTGACAAAGTCGTTTTCGCACTCGCAAAGCAAAAACTTGGAAAAGTAATCACACATCTTGTTTCCAATGTGCTCTGCAAATGAGTCCAGAAACTATATAAATCGGAAATAGATAAGAACAAATTGATAGCGATAAGGCATGAGTCATGAGTCTCTTTCATCACCAGGCCCAGGCCCTTCATCTCTAAGATCGTTGTATGGTCTCTCACGGGCCATCTAGAGGCTCAGCATGCCAGACCCCGCAAAACCAAAAGGAACTGCGTACTCCTCACACCTTCACGCAACCACTTTCTTGAAAACAAACACAAGGCAAGCAGGAGAGAAGCTGTAAAGCTTGCCTCTGGCACGTGTCCATCTGTCTCAGGAAGAGGATTCATGAGGCAGTACCTGCAGCAGCATCATGCACCAGCAGGCCCATTTTCTATGCGCACCTTGACGCTGCCTTGAACTTCATCAACACACTTTAAGCCAAAGCAATCCATCTTTGGGTCACAGCAAGCTGCATTCTTGCGCTCCACAAAGCTTGAGGCTTTCCCGACAAAGCAGCTTGGCCTAGGCGTGCATCAAACTGCAAATATAAAGAATTGCATCAGAATCGTCGGACTTCCTCATTAATCCAGTTCATATATGTTGTCGTGATAAATCCAGTCACCCCAATGCAAGCGTCTAAGCAAGGTCATGTCAAGTGCGGCAGATAATGACCGGTGCAACCCGTCCAAAACACTTCCCTCAATGCAGCTTGGCAGCAAAAGCCTTTGAGAGTTCCAGGCGTCGGCTTCGCACCATCTGATGGAGGTGCACGCAGTCCGAAACGCAATCTGCTAGTGCACCCCAACTAAGGCGGTGGGTTGAGAGGTGGTCTACATCTTTGAACTACACCAACTTGCGAATCATCAACACTTGTGACTTGTGAACCACCAACCTCTCTCTCTCTCTGCTGTCTCTGCTTTCTCCCTCTGAGAGTTGCACCGCAGTGGATGTGGAGACGCCTGTACTCATCCGTCAATTGAACCCCCCAATTGACAGTTTCGCAAGAGCGTCCGATGCAGTGTGTTTGAGCCAGGGCAACATGTGTACATACAGATACACGTGTCTGTGTATGTATGTAGACATGGCATGGCATGGCATGACATGACATGACCTTACCTTACCTTACCTGACATTCCTTCATACATACGGGCGGTGTGGATTCCGCTCCGTGCTCGCACCTAGCTCCAAAGTGCCCGTGTCTGAACTCCCATCCTGGCAAAACGATGCCGGAGGACATGCTCAGACAGGTGTACACCCACTTCAATTCCCGTTCATGTTCGGGCACTCTTCCATCTTTCCACGTCTTGAACCAGTGAACAATGTCCAATTCCAACCTATGCGAATTGCAGTAACATGGGACCAGAATCAAAGTCCTCGTGGTGAGAGGCAAAATACCTGGCAAATCGATACAAATCCGCTACTAGTAGCATCCTTGCTCCTAGTAGCGATGCCCTTTGTTGCCTTTGTTACTAGTGGCATTCTTGCTCCTAGTAGCAAGCTGGGATTAAGGTCGCGCGAGTCGCATGTCAATCGATTGACTACAGCAAGTCCGCAGCAATCCCCAAACCTGCTTCACGGGTGCCGATTCTCCAAGCTGCTCTTTTGCTCTTCCCGGACTTCTCAGCACATTTTATTCAACAACGTGTTCTCTCCATGATCTCTATGAATGTTTAAAGCCCGAGGAGGAAGGCCGCTAGAAGAGGTAGCTAGTAGCTAAAGTAAGATCCTTGGTAGGACGCAGGATAGCTCACGCTTCTTCAAGGAAGCTCCCCCACCTGTGGGCAGGGTAGTCCTAGATGTTTTGGAAACTTAATGCTGGGTGTTGCGCGGCCGGTTTGATTCTAACAAAGTGCGAGACATCCCTGACATACCTACGACCTGCAGTATATATATATATATATGTTATATTGTATTATATCAAGGATCTTCTTTGGCCCAAAGATGCCCACAGAGCCTCGCGCTGGAGTAAAGCCCCAGTCGATCTCCAGGGTCAGTCCTCACACCAAGTTTGGATGCTTGCAGCAAGTCTTCACACCTGTAGAGGAGACAGCCATCCTCCAAAATCTGCAAGTGACATGACAGTGGTTGGTAGTGAGATCTCAAGTGTCGCAAACAATTCTTGCTAAAGGCGACTCCCCTGTAATCAAGAATCGAGCCAATGATCCTGATCAAATGATCAAATTTCTCCACAACAGTATTGTGTCTTCCAACTCTTGACGAAATGTTGTGTGGCCACTATCATCTTTGCCAGAATCTGTCATGCCAGTGACGTAGTCATAGTGCTGCGGTGGGTACAGGTCCACAGGGGTAATTGCCAAAGTACACGCCCTCGGCCACGACTTGCATGCAAAAATGTGTTGAGGCTTACGGGAAGGTGGGGAAGGATCGCGTGATCGGTGTGCCAAGTCAACCTATCTCTAAGGTGAGCTCACTGGAAGAAAGCACTCAGTCGTTATATATATATATATATCCCATATATATCCATATATATATATAACTGTAATTACACCGATGAAGACCTCCGAAATCTTTGAATGGAAACAACATGAAACAAACACACATACACTAAAGTTTGAAAAGTAAAATGCCCGGATCGGGATCTTCTTCAGCAGCGTGTTTCTCATGCAAAGGTCCAGCTAGGATGCCCACGCACGCGGATCAACAAAGCCTGACAATGCTCAGTGGATCAGATGAGCTCTGAAAATGCTAGCGCTTCCAGAACAAAGGTACTCCTGGAGCAATCATGCAAATATTCGGCTTGCCGAAGTCAAAAGGTTTGGAGAGGCGAGAGGACCTACAAAGCATGGAGATTCAATGGAGATGGGCCACGAACTGAAAGGAAAAGGAGTGGTGACCAGGAAAGCCAAAAAGAGACCTGATAAGGATGAGACTGCTACTTTCGGGAGAGCATGACAGAGCATGATTGCAGTAATTAGCGGGTTTGGACTTGCGTTTTCGTCCAGCCTTGCAAAAAGGCCAGCACATAATGCGCTCCAATTTGAGGCACTCCATCAACCGAAGTGCGCTGCCCAGCAGCGCTCAAGCGCATCCGCGGCATTGGATTCTCTAAACCTCCTGCAAAAGTCAAGTCAACCCAACCCACAGTACTATTGTCCTCCAACCTGGAAGCAATGGCCTCCAACCTAATGTCTCCAAGCTATAGCGATGGCCTCAAACCTAGAAGCAATGGCCTCTAACCTGATGGCAATGGCCTCCAACCTAATATCAATGGCCTCCAACCTAGCAGCAATGGCCTCCAACCCAATAGTGATGGCCTCCAACCTAGAAGCAATGGCCTCAAACCTAATAGCAATGGCCTCCAACCTAATAGCGGTGGCCTCCAACCTAGAAGCAATGGCCTCCAACTAATGGCGATGGCCTCCAACCTAGAAGCAATGGCCTCCAACCGGTTGAGCTTTGCAGCACCTATTTAGAAATAGAATGCTCAAAGCCAACCGAACACCGCTCCGTTCAGATGCTCATGTAACTCATGTCTTGCCCACAAATGGAATGGGATATGCCAGAATCTCTTCCACTGCAGGAGGCAGCCTCGCTGAATGACTTTGAAGCCCATGAAGACCTGGCAAGCAAATGCAAAGTTTCTTATAGTTTCTCACCAACTGAATCTAGAAGACCTCTCCGAAAGGGGATGATGTTGCAGCGTAATGCTCTATAATGCTCTCAAGAAAGCAGCTACATCAACACCTCTCTCAGTTGTATGCTTGCCTCAACGTGCTTCAGAATCTGTTCCAGGCTCATTTGTCGAGCAACAAGCTCTTCGTCCCCAACGATGGCTACCTAAGAATGCCCGGAAGCTGGGGAGAGGAGTCAGTGACTCTACTCTCCCAAAAAGTAAGGATCGATTAGATTGATGAGAAAGTGGAGCCTAGATTGATTTGCAAGACGTAAAATATGCAAAAATATGCAAGATGAGTACTACAAATGACTATATAGGCCACTAAAATGTCCTTTGGTCTTCTTTCGCGTCCAAGGTCGAGACCTGAATCGAGGACACTGTGTTGGGTCGGAATGGCACTGCACACTTAAACTGGTCGAAGGTCTGAGTTTGTTGGTACTCCTGTGAGGCAAACGAAGTCAAACGCAAAAATGCGGGACAAGTGAAACTGATTGTGAAAGCAAATCTGCAAGTCACTAATCTCCAGAAATGTCCAGATTCTGTCAAACCAACAGCCAAACAAAATGCCTCAACCTTCAGTGTCTGTGTGATTTGGTTGCTCGTGCCTTGAAAATATCAGGCGAAAATATATTACCTATGCGGGGCAACATGCGAAATCAACAGCCGTTTGCCACGACGTCCTTTCCAAAGCAACTCTTGGGAACAAAAGCCCCGCACAAAGAGTATCTACAATATATCCATGAAGTATCTACATCCACTATCTCCTAGAGTTGGTGTTCTTTGCTCTTCGTTGCTCTGATCTCTTCTTTGTTCGCTCCTTCCACCACGTGCTCCGTGGGGTGCGGAGTCTCCAAGCTTTGGACATCTCGCGGAAGGCCTCGACAGGACGCTGCGGCCTCCAACTAATACCTAATGACCATGGCCTCCAACCTAAAGTCCCGGACGTCCAGGACCTGAAAGCAAATCCATGTGTTGCGGCATCCCAAAGGTTCGTCCATCTGTGAGAAAGTACTAGGTGAAAAGCAGCAGGGTATCCCGTTAACAGATCCACCACACCGTTCGGGAAGTATCCCAGTCAAGAATCATGGATCGTATACACTCCCACAAACAGGCATGGTCACCCAGAAGTGTTTTTTCCAGGATTTCCCCTACTAAGTGGATGAATCATTGATGTTTTTTCCATGTGAGTTAGTGAGTTCCTCACGAAACCTCTTCAACATGCCATGCTATGCTTGTCATTGATCATCACTGATCGGTAGGCCCCCTGTCCCACCCTGGGAAAGCTCGCTGGCATTCCTGCACCCCAGCACAAACTCAACTATCCCAAGCCATGGATAAGCGAAAGGAGCTTTGTTCCTCAAACACATCCAACATCAGCACCCCATACTATGAGGTAGGTTTTGGACTTGCCCCTTGCTGGAAATCAACATGGTCTTCAAAGAGGATTGAGTCATGGTCAAAACCCTGATGTTCCAAAACCTTGCCTGCTTCAGTCGCCAGGACTCGCCGGCCAAGGAGCCCAGCGCTAGGCGCACAAGGCTCCAAGGATCCTCAGGATCCTCATCCATGACCAAGTGCTGCACTGAGCAAGGGGAAAAAGTGAAAGGAACATAAAGGAACCCCCTCTTGAACTGAATGAATCAGTGGGTGTTGCTGACCAACTTAAACACTCGAAAAAGGTCGCATCAGGTCCCATAAAGAGTGATCCTCTAGTGTTTGGGCCACTTTCGGGTCGGCGTCTCGCCCCGCGTGCTTCCTTCTTGATCAGGCTGCAGCCTGCTTCCACAATTCAAAGAACGCCGGTTCATTACTGTGTGGCATTCATGTGCGAGTGTGGCAAATGCAGGGGGCTTGACACTAGTTTTGGCTGATTTAAGGCTGACTCAGAGAATAATCGAGCTGCGTAAGATTGTGTGGCCTCTGATGCTACAGTAGCCGGAGTGGTGTTGTCAATGCTAGGTCAGGGTGTTCAATATGCCAAGAAAAGCTATTTGACTCTTCAAGCCAAGCCTCACCCCCCTGTACTGTGAACCCATGGTATTTAGATGTATTTAGTTTTAGATAACCTCACTCTATAGAAACTGCAAAGACAACTACTTTGATTGCCATGGCTTCTATAACCCTATACCGGCCTGTACTAATATTATGCCTATGCTGTAAAAGGCACATGAACCTGGCAGCCTCAGCTGCTCAGAAGAGTGCGATAGTGGTGCTTGAGTACACACTTCAAGGCTTGTTAAGAACAGTCAGCCAGGCAAGTAGGGACCTGCATTTGTAACAGGTTGACCTGCACTAGTATGCACATGAGAGATACTTGTGCTGTGGTGCTCCAAATACTTTAGTGCTGTATATGGCCCAAGCAGTCATTCTCAGATTGAATCCGTTCAATTCATCTTGTTCTGCCAACTGAAAGTCTATGTATATTATATACACCTGATCCAGCTTCCGTCATCAACAGTTTGCACTACAATAGGTTGCAACCACGTTGGGAGTTCTTTCACCTGAAGCAAAAGATTCTGGACTGAATTCTCTGCTGTCAAGCGAAATACTAAAAGCAAACAAGGCCCCCACAGTTTAAAGAGTCGTATCCACGAGAATGTTGCACAAATGTAGCCTCCAATGTTGTTCAGTAGCCTCCGGAAAGGCTCTTCCGACTCTGAGCACTGGCTTTTTCAACTCGGCGATCTGTAACCGCTTTGGCCAATGCCCAGGAGTGTCATCTTGGCCGACCAATACCGTCCTCTGCACAGGCCTATGGCCTCGCAAATAACAATTGAGGCTTTGGTAGTGGCTGATCTTTCCGGGACTCCAATGACAACCGTAAACAACTCAGGAAACATTCTATTGAAGCGTAGTGGAAGATCCCAAGCTCAAGCAACCTCAAGATACCTGAAGTACTGAGCACTGTACTGGCCTTCTCCTGGTGGTGGATTCTTACCCACACTCATATGTTCAATAAATCAATGTTTTTGGTGAAAGGCAACATGCAAACATGGTAAAAGGTCGGAAATCCCTCCGTCTCATTCCCTGGGTGATTCTGCATACCAACCCGTTTCACAAAAAAGTATGAAAGCCCTTGGGCCAGCCAGGATGATCTTCCTGCGCTCGACCGACATTGTGACATTTGGCACATTGATCCTATCATGCCCTTTTGCGTCCAGTGGCGTCTTTCGTCATTGATTCCTCAACCTGACTGCACATAAGTGTGTCTCCAGAGGCCAAATCAGGGGATGTTGCTCTGGCTTTTGAGCCGTGTTGGTACAATCCGCACTGCTACAGCTGTTGTTGTTGTTGTGTTTTAACGGTCCACACCCTAGCTCATCCCCTTAACTGCAGGGATCGGGTAGTGACCGGGTAGTGGCCCGCCTGTCTGCGTAGTGTTGCATCCAGGGATTGAACCCGGGTCGGACGCCACTTATACCAGCCCTCCGCCCTGCTACACCTCTACTCACGCTAGCCACTAGACTCTAGACGGTTTCTGTAGGAATATGTTGTCTAGCCCCATCGTTTTGAAACAAATGGATGCGCACATGATCTGAAGAAGAGATTCCAAGGTGCGACAAGGCCAAACAGACTGGTGCTTTCAAGAAACTGGAGCTGTCCTCTTGGTAAACAGTAAAATGCGTGCATTCGTCTTTGGAGTCAATTGCATGACATGCCTGCAGGACTGCTAATGGGACTTATGCTCAACACGGCTGAACCCCTCATTGCAAACAGAATGGATTACTCATTGCTCCGCAAAGGCATCGCAGTCAGCTAATAGACAATCGGTCATCCACGGATCCACCACTTCCTTCTTTACACTTACTGTATTTCACATTTTATTTCACATAAGCAGTTCAGAATCCATCTAGCCCATCAAGTGACCCATTCAGATTATGAATGGGATATAATGGGTCACCTTACTAGAGTTCACTTACCGAAACTCGCAAGACAAAATATGTGTTTAAATATATATATATATATTAGGAACAAGTGCATCGCTTCTAGTAACAAGTGCCTTACTAGTAGTAACGAGAAGCTATTAGGAACAACTCGCAAGACCGAAGGACGCCCCAGCATGACATTGCTTCCACTTGCTGGGAAGTTCTCAAGAACTCTCTGGCCACGCTTATCAAGGACTTCCCTTGCTGCCACGTAGCTCACACACAGTGTTGCCGATTCTCTGCTATATTCAACAGAAAGCACAAAATCACAAGTACAATCAGGTATTCATGGTGTCTAATGGTCAAGCATGCGTCACATATGTTCGCACTGCTTGGTTGAAGACCAGCCTGGCAAATCAACGTTTTTGCATCCGTCTCCGCATTCTCCCAGTACAAACTCGGTCAAGCACGGCCGTGCAAATCCAGCGGCGCCTTCTTATCAGTCTCACAGCATGGCCAAGTAGTGCTACGTGATGCTAGGCTCTTTACCTTTCAGTTCAGCAAGCAGAACAACAGAAGGGTGAGATTACCAAAAGGAAGCTTCTGCCCAGCGTCTCTGCTTGTAGGCAAGAGCCGGCTTGACTCGATTTCACACCGAGGGTATGAGTGAAACACTAGAACTGCAAAGCATGAAGTGAGCCGAGTGGCATCAATGGAATTTGCTCAAGCCCAATCAACAAGAGTCTGCGCACATACTCCTGTTCACCATATATATATATACATACTATATACATCTATATACAGTGTATATATATATATATATCAACGTAGATAATTGCTCCAAAATTGCCAACAGTCCCAATTTTGAGCAGCTCCCTCCCCTGAAAGACCCTAGCATCATCGGGGTTGTTCCACAATTTCATGTACCATAAATGTTTGGATGCTCTCAGACCTAGCAAACCTGCTTAAACACCTGCATAAAGCGTCCTTCTCCTGTGGCTTGCTGCTATCATCAAAGCTTCATGCTGCAGTTTCACTCTGTTCCACTGGATGTGTCGACAGCTCACACTAGCACCTGGCATGCGAGCCAAACCCAGGGTTCAAACTCTCTCGTGATAGGGGAGAACATAACCACAAGGACTAAACACAGACCACGCCGCCAGAAGAGAGGAGCACATTCAAATCAACATGAGCAGCGACAGCCGCCAAGTGGTTAGACAGTTGTGATCAAGTTTGCATAGAATTGAGAACTCCAACAATACTACTGCTTGCAGAAAAAGACACACCATCAAAACATGCTGTGTGGCACAATCAACATGCAGCAGTGTTAATGTCACATGACACTTTTCTTGTGAAAAAACCATGCTGTTTGGAATGGTCGGGACGAGGAGCGCACGAACCGCCCAAATGCATTCTGAGGGCATGGCAGGTGACGAGCTGTACAGCAAGCCTGTTGAATCATAGTTTCTTGCCTGGGAACCCGGAAACATTCTCCGCTTTGAAACTGAAACGGGTTGAAACGGAAAAAACCATAGAGCTCAAGCTCAGCTAGCCTTGTAGGCAGAAAGGCATCGACTCATTTCAGGTTTGGTCTCCTGGCGAAAGGTGCTCTAAAACCAATGTGGAGCGTTCCAGTTCAGTAATCTGCAAAGTGCGTATCATTTATTTTGTGCAACACTAAAACACCAAGGTTTTGCACTGAGTAAACTGAGATATGATAGCTTTGAAAAGCAGCTCCACCTTCGATTCCTTCAGTGGTTGTTCGGATTTCAATCTGTCTGCAAGTAGTTGGAGTAATCCGCTCGTTGAAACAAAGGCATGGTAGTTGCAAACCTACAAAGACCACCTGAAACAAAAAAAGCCCGGCCGCGTGTAACCGCATGTCTTTGAAGATACAAAACACAAGGGAATTTAGAAAAACATGCATTTTGTCCTGTTTGCTGCAGCTCAATCGGAACCGGCTTTTTCTCTCACGCGAACACCTAAGACATCCTAAGAC